ACTCTCATCTACACCGGTTTTGGCAAAATCCCGATGAAAATCTCCGTGTGCACAATACAGTGAGATTCAACAGTGAGTGAGAAGGGATGAGAGGTGATGAGAAAAGAAGTTCATTGGGTTGGAAAGAGACAAGAACCAAATCATACTAATTCTGATACGTGTTTCCATACGAGAAATTTTATCTTCCTCCTTCTCTTCTTCGTGTTTGTAATCGGTGTATTGTACAGCTCATTCGTCTCTCATCTGCCTTCTTTCGCATCTTCTAATTCATCCACATTTCTTCCTCCTTAACACACACACACACGCGCACACATGTATGTACAAGCAGCAAGCAACAAACAGGGTGGCAAGAAGTGTTTTGCTAAGCAAATCTCTCTCATGCACAAGCACCACCTTTTCTGAAACTGATCTCACTGGTCGAGAAAATTCAGAGGAAAAACACCACTTTTCTGTGCTTTGTGGAGTGTTCTTGAGAGAAACCACAAAAGACAAACTGCACTCACTCACTCACTCACAGTCTTCCAGACATTGCAGCGCATCTCAGTGCGCGAAAACGGGATAAACGAGATTTGAGAAACAGGGAATCACCTGAATTGGTCACAAGTGTGGTTAAAGTGTGACTCAGAGAGTAACTCAGAGGTTTCGCATTGTAAATTATTATTGATAAATAGAAGGACATTTATTTAATAATACATAAAAATAAATCTTGTCTAATGAAGAACACACTTCAAACACTATATAAGATTCTATATGATACGTTTTGTCTTATGACATGTGCTATACGCTAATTTATTCGTGTTCTTGCTAGATTTCTTTTGATTACTTGTACATTCATTCTCACAATGAAACACCCTTCGAGTGTTGAATAAAAACTACCTGATGTCGATGCCTCTATTTCACTGATCTTCATACCATTTCCCACTCTTTCATGTTACGCCAGCATCTACATCTTTCTCTCCTTCTGCTTCACATACACATCACACACACACACACACTCACACATGCATGAGATTTTATTATAAATCCCAAGATGAGCTCCGGTTTTGTGGAAGAAACCGAATAATACAGAAATTCTGCATCAAGCATAAGCACCATAAAGTACGAAACCCATAAAATTGCTCATTTCAAGTCAAAACCACACAACCAAAGCATCTAATTTGCGAATTCAGTTCAAAGTCACTGCAAAGTTTAAAACTTTGCACATATTCTCCTATATAGAATCCCACAGTCAATATTTCGGATGTTACCGAACATTTCGTGACACCCTTGAAAAATCTGTGGCATCCAGTGCAAAACTGGCTCACATTCAACAGTGTTAAAATTACTAATCTTGGAAGGAGAAAAAAACACTGTCTATGATTGTAAATTCATATATTGCCAATACATCCAGTGAAATTATGATTCTCTTAATCGTTCTCTAATCATTTTTCATTGAAAAGGAATTGAAATAGTCCAAATTCTTTAACAAATTGTTATAGTAATTTAGCAAAAATGTAAAAATTTAAAGTTTTGTGTTGGGAATGATTGGATTGCCTTGCTATTAAATAAACGAGTGGCAAAAGAATATGCTTTTGATGAATGTGACAAATACAAGAAAAGAAAACATTTGGTCTTTGTGTATGAAATAGTGAGAGAAAAACACATATAAAATGCAATTAAATTACTCTGTCTCCAAAGTATAGGTGAAGTCTTGCATTCTACTCTTGATATTGACAAAGTTATTGCACAGTGGGAGAGAATAGAAAAACACTAATCCATTACTCCAACTCACGAGGAATTGATATTTTCTCCACTTTTGATGGAAACATTCGCACGAGAGCACATTTTTTAATTAACTAAGTGAATCTTAAAATAACACTGCACAATAGTGGCGATTTTTTCTTCTCAGAATTTTCCATTTATTTCAATCTTATAACAACAGTTTAGAGAAGAAAAACAATTATATTCACATCCGCAAGGCGCAAGATGTGCTTAAAAGCTCAAAATATATTCAGTCATCTGAAAGGATTTATTAGTGGGGAAAAAGAATGTTTTTACTGTGAGAAGTAGTCATTTTAAAAAACCTCTCAGCGACCTTCGTGAAATTTTCTTTGCCTCGCAAAGTCTCAATTATTATGTGAAGCATATGATTTTACGCCACGAGTGGGGAGTGAACATTATGCCATAGAGATACTCTGTCATCGAGACTAACCCCGACATTGGGAGTCGAGAGTCTTGTCGCCGCAATAAACCACGAGATGGCAATTAAAACATTGGCCAAAAAATCAACACACAAATACAGACGCACACAAAACCACACATTTATTCAGTGTGGAGAAAATCACGAGCCATATATTAAATTTAAAAAAAATACAATCCTCAAAACCATTCTTTCTCCTGTCTATTTACATACAACATTGGAAAGCGTATTCTCTCACAAAGTCTATTTATCCGGATACAGTCATTTCCGGAAAAGTAATTTTAGCATTTGTGCGCATAGACTGAAAAAAGGATATTTATAAATAAAACTCGTGTGATTTTTTTATTATTTCTTGTTTTTAAATATAGAGAAGAAGAAAACATAAAAGTCCCAGGCATTTTGCGGTGTAAAACAGACATCGCACTTATGGCAGAAAAAGATTGCACGTCGCATGTGGAATTCCACACAACCTCGACAGATGTTAATTTCTCCAACATTTTCACATTTAATTTGCCTCTCCTCTCGTCACATCACCGAAAAGATCGAGTAATGCACCAATTTACAACACTACACTCAATTGAGGATATGTAGTTTATCATCCGTGAATTTTTGCATCAAAAAGACCAGTAAAATATAATCACAAACCAACTTTCCGCACATTTCATTCTCAAATAATTCACAGTACAATTTTCCTCAAAATCCCACACTCTATTGCTTCTTTTCTTTCCGGTTAGACAGAACAATTTCTCACTCGACAAATAACAAAATACATCTAGCAACGTCGAAACTAGACAGCACACTGAAAATTCTCACAGGAAAATATATGGCTCAGTGTGAAATTTTCATTTGAAGACCATTATAGATGAATGCTGTGTGTTGTATAAGGAAACTTCTTAACTATATTGCTTGTGTTACACGAGCATAATCTCCACACGCTTTGTCTTAACTATTTCCACTCACTTCACCGTTACAACTTTCACAGGACATTTTCCACTCAACATCAAATGCCTCTTCATAAGCAAAGTGTGCGTCACAAAAGGTTCTCCATCGCTACAAAACTACACACTAGAGACAGTCAATTTTCCCTCTCAATATATTCTCTGGTATATTATTCGTCACTCTGCGAGTGGAACATGTTCTGTTTACCAAAATCAAAATTCAATTTAATGATCAATCTCTCTTCATTTTGATCAATTTAACCGTCACACATTGCTGGAGATGAAAAGGAAAGAACCCAGACAAGAGGGAGAACAAGAGTGATTATGCAACATTATCGAGCTAAACTCTCCGCCAAACTCATTCTGTTCACCAACAAACGAAGCTTCTGTGCACACGAAGTAACTCTGAATTAATTGGATTATTAAAAAGAGAGTTTGTTGTTCTAAAAAGTGCGTCAGAACAACTAACTTTGACTATACCGATTAGGGGAAAGAGGAGCTACTTTGCACAGTAGACATTGAAGAATTACACGTATTTATCATAATTTTCAATGCAAAATCGAATCAGGGTGTATTTTTTTACTAACCAAAAAATGCAGCCTTTCGAAAATCCAGAAAAGTGTCTTATGAACTTTAAAACTTTGCATATTTCGCAATTTAATGTTTGATGTTAACATGTCGCGATTTCTCTATATTCTATCGGTATTTTAGTGATTGTCACAGCATTTCTCAATGTAAAATCTTATTCAAGTGCCACTGAACTCGAGCTTCCTTGAATTTACAAGCACAGTGAATTTCACAAGGACATGGAAATGCATCAATTAAGAGTGTTATTTGATCAAAACAGATATTTTCTCCTTTCACATTTATGATCAGAGAGAATCCCTTTTTAGACGTCACTGCATTTCATTGCGACAATATTGTTCCAAATCAACCATCGAATCTATTAATAGCCTCAAAGAGACATCGCAATCCAATTGACGCATGCTAATTGGTCACAACTACTGAGTAACCAAAAGTCTCCTCTCAGATTTATTCTCATCGCCAGAATTTGACCTCATCGCGCGCGTGGAACAGCAAATGTGCAACATTCATACACACAATTCCTTTGTACTTGACCACCAATCATCGTGACTTTCGGTGTGGCCGATATTATAAAAGAGACCGCACGTCAAGACACACATTCATCGCCATGATATCATCTCTCTGGTGAAGCCATTTAAAGTACTCACAAAATACATATACTTCATATTGGCATTTCGCAACAATAACTACGATTTTTCTCTCTCTCTCTCTCTCTCTCTTCTCTCTCACTCCAAAATTGACGCCAATGATATACGCAATCAATTTGCGATGAGGCAAATCAATTGGACCACAAGAATCTCCCACTGTCAGTTGTACAACTTCAAAAGAGACCCCCAAAAAGCTGATTAACCTTTTCCGCTTGAAACAGAGAAAAGAGGAATATTGCAAAACAACCAAAATTGTGTGGTTTCTCTCTCTCTCTCTCTCTCTTTCTCCATTTATCTATCCTTCTCATCCATTTTTCCCCGCGTTGTGTTTGTGGAAAATCTGGCTAAATGCCAAATTTCATTGAGTAGAAACAAGAAAACTAACATGGGAAAAAGTGCGTTGATGTTTTCGTCATTGCACAGAATTTCCGTTTCATGTCAATTCACACACGGTCAAAGTTGATGCGATCCTTCGATCTTCAAACACATATTGTTTGATTATTTACTTTCCACCCCCAGAAAGTGGCGAAAGTCACCCAATGAGTAAATATTTTCTTCAATGTCCAATTTTATGCACTGCCAAATTGATGGCTAATAAATCGTGTCGGGATTTAATCTTTTCAACATAAATTAATAAGTGTGCACACTCACCCATACAGAAGGTGTCTTCAGCGCCACTCTCATCGTCCTGACGACGCGATCGATCACCTACAGCCGAAACAATCAATTTAGCAACTAATCAACTCAGATAGTGTGATAATAAACTCAACGCACTCGGTATAAAGTGATGCGCAGGACGGATCTTTCCCATGAGTTTGCTTATCTTGTTGTCATTGTGCGCTTCCTTGCGCTTCTGCGGCGCCGGTCCGGGACAGTGCTCCTCGAGGATGCGCGAGCACGCACGATGGATGTTCAGCTCGCAGTGCGTGCAATGATAGCCTTGCGGACTCACGCCCCAGATGATGTTCTGACAGTGATTGCAGTGCGTCACCTCATAATACTGACGTAATACTAGAAGGTGTCCAAGAACAAGGGCCTGGAATGAGACACAGTGTCATTAGATGAATAATTTCCACTGATTTGCCCTAAAATGAATAAATTAATCGCACTGAAAAATATCATTTAGCATTTCATTGAGTCTCTTATGCCAAATTGCATCGCAAAGGATGCAAAAAAAAACACTGTGAAAATTTCAATCGTTAATCAGTGTTTATCACAGAAATAGCAAATGAAGCATAATCTCAGTAAGAAAGGTAAAGTAAAGTGTATTTAACTGAGAATTTAAATTAAGATCAGAATTGTTACAGTGAAGTCTTGTTTTCTGCTCGATAAATTAAGAAATTGAGTAAGAAGAAGCATTAATTTCCACGATTATCTCACCTTCCTATTTTTGCCCATCAATCGCGATTTGAAACTCTTCTCGCGACTGACAAAATGATGAACCTTGTCAATGGGACTATTTGGATTGGAGCGTGTCACGAAGATCCGATGCAGAACTGTCGACAAAGCTGAACACAGGGCTGACTTCTTGGGGCATTCATTCGGCGCCTCACGATCCAATTCATCACTGCAAAAGAGAGCAGGCAATTGACTTCATCTGAATATTCCCCCTCCGCCTTAATCAAACTTACACGAGTTGCTGCAATTTTGGAATGAGTGTCTCCTCGACAATGCGTTGCTCTTTGGTCTTGTCACCCTTGGCCTCTTGCAGCTGCTGATCACTGGGCCCATAAATTGTGCCCAAGCCGGCGGTACGCTTCACTTGGAACTCCTGCAGTTGTGTGTTGATGAAGTCCTTCGCCTTGATGCGACTCTTCCAGAAGATCTTCCGCAGAATCTCCCCCTTGTCGTACTCCTTCTGCAGCACATCGTCCACCTCGCGCGCCAGCGATTCATCCACCGTGGCCCACAAAAGTGGTGCTTGCGGCACGAGGAAGGTGGAGTGTATTTCGTACGCCCACTTGCGCATATCCTTCACATTGCCCTCCTTATACAGTCCCGTGATGAGGTAGAAGAGCAGCGGCGCCGGATTGGAATTGGACATGACAAAGTTGAGAAATACCGCTAAATAGGATGAATTCTCCTGCTCCAGCAGCTGCGACAGCGACCTGAACGGTCCGTGCTCCTCAATGAAGCCCTCCTGATCGGAAATCTCGTCGTCCTCCATCGAAATGATGGGCTTCTGCAGGACATTCGCCTGGGCGGCAGAAATTGGCGTCTTCTGATGGAATGTCGGCGATGTCACTGGACTGCCACGGCGCTGGGCATCCGTGGCATCCGCCTCCTCGCGCTGACTCTGGCCACTGGCCTGATTGCCAGGCGATAAGTACGGCGGCGGAGGGGTTCCCGGTGGTGTTCTCTCGTTGTCCTTCTCCATCAAATCCCACGATCCCGTCGCAGACTTGTTCATGCGCTGATCACCTGCAAAGACACACTCTTTAGCACACATTCTCTCTTCAATCCCTCAGATATGGCAGCATCACTCACTGTGCTCGGAATCCCTGGGATGAACATGCTCAGGAGATGAGATCACACGTCTATGCTTCCCACTCAACTGGTTCAACTGCTGTGGAGTCAAACCGAGAGCCTGAAAAGTCACAACACCATTCAATTATCAGCCCTTTTGCGGATTTCTCAAAACACACTATGTGTCAAATTTTTAACATTTATATCGCCACAAAAAGACATAATATTCCCACCCAAAAATACATATTATACTCTGCAGTGTCATTTACTCAGTGTCACACAAACACACTGTAAATCACACACATTTTCAGTGCTTGCGTGAAGGAAAAGCACTAATAAAACATTGGTTTCTGTAAAAAGAAAACTTATACAAATAAAGGATGACTTTTCTGGGGGAACATCACTAAAAAATATATATATGCCTTAAAGAGTAAAAAATCGTATAGAAATAGGCAAGGAAGGGTCCCTAATCAACTCCTATCAACTTCCTAAGTGCCTTCTTTCACTATCCTGATAAATTGAATGCATTGGTCGTGAAAATATGTTAAAAGAAAGCTGAAAAGCAGCAAAATTTCACCAAAGAGTATAAAAAAAAACTACTCCCAAAACCACACAATCAAGCACAAATAGAGGAAAACATGCATAAAGCAAGCTAATAATAAAATATAACAATTTTCACGTATGAAAGTTATTAGCTGTTACACATTTTGTAATGTAATTAGTTTATGAATTGTCGCACATCCCACACAAAAGTGTTGTATATTTGTACACTGTCATTATTTCCTATAAGAATTCTTATTGTTTTCACTTTATTCTTAAAAATCCACATGGAATGCACTTTTTTACGTCATATGCCAATCTCAACACTCTTGCATGGGTTGTGCCACAGTGAAATTAGTTTATAGCTATGTCTATCGTTGAAGATGACGCTCATCGCTCCATTTCCAGCTACTTCACCATCTCTCCACATCGTCTCCCTTTGACACCAAACAGAATTATCTACAACACGGACTGTGTTAGGGAGGCACGAGAAAGAGAAAGGAAGCAAGGGGGTGACGTGAAGAAGATTGTGTCGGGTGTATGTGTATTTGTGCGGGTGGAGAGAAAAGTTTTCGGTGCACAGAGACTCAGTGCCGTGACAGTACTTACAGTAGGTTTATTAGCAGAAGATAGTAGATTTTGGTGATGGTGATGATGGTGCTGGAAATTGCTAGTCAGCTGATGTTGCTGCTGCAGTTGCTGTACAATATTTGGTCGGTGTGAGAGTGGAAAAGCGGACAGATTGTCCCTAACTGGTGTACATGTCGCTATTAAGGGATAATTCAGCACTGTCTCAATGCTATTCGGCAGCGGCCTATTGTTGTTCAACTTATTCAATTGCTGCTCATCCACACCCTGACGCGGCGGCAACGGCGGCGGACTGCACGTCACCCTCTCCGCCTCGAGCAGCATCTGCGAACTCATCTTCGGATCCGACAGTGCCTTTATCTTCGCCTTTGTGCGCTTCTTGCTCTTTCCTGACGGCGCGGCACTGTGCGTGGGCGTCGAGCCGCCGCCACTAGAGGAATGATCCAAATCCGACACCTGCAGCGGACTGCCGGCGGACGCCCCATTGGCGTCCGCCATGCGTCGCGGCGCATTCCTCTGCGGCAGCGGCGGCGGAATGTCACCCTTCTGTGGACTCTTCACCTCCACATTCAACTTCTTCGCCGTCGCCGCCGCGGATGTGTTCTGGCGCGACAATAGCGGCGTGTGATGCGGCGTGAACTCCGAATTGATGCTCATGAGAATATTTGGCGCCAGCCCAGGATTCACCCGATCCATGGGCTTCTTCCACGTGCCCAGGCTCAGAGATGAGAGCGAGCGCGGGAAGAGCGACAGGAATGCCGGCGTAGATGGCTGCTGCTGCTGTGGCGGCGACACTATTGCTGCTGGAAAAGTGACTGGGACAGGATGTGAGAGCAGCAAGTTCATATCCTGCAAACAGAATCAAGAAATTGTGGTCGTTGTCACCACAATTTTACTATTTTTGCATCTCTCATCGCTCCTGGATTGATGCAAAATGTCGCAGGATACTAAGTTATGCAATTTCCTCCCTCTGACAAATTCACTCTCGAGAGAGATTTATCTCCGTTCCCAATTTGTGTATCGGAGGGAAAAATAAATCACTTGTTGGCAATTTGAGGAATTCAATATAAATCTATCATCACAAAAAAGAAAATAAACATTTCAAAGAATGCAAACGAAAAAATCAAGAATAGTCTTTCGTTCTCTTAAGATATTCTCTCTAATGATATTTTAACGGGCTCTATTCTATTATAACATAGAATATGTACAATATTTTGTATATTTTTCAAAATATTGCCTTCAATTTTAATTCAAATTTTAACACTAGAATTCAAACAACAAAAATGTGAAGAGCTCTAAATTGTTTTTTTCTAAATCCACAGATTCACATTTATTGATTAATTATGAATAAACAGAATAGAATAGAACCTTTTCCATATCAGACATTCACTAAGTAACATAGAAGAAAAGCCTTTGTCGATCAAAAAACTCCACACAACATTCCATGAACATTTCTTTTTTCCATAAACAAAATGCTCAACAAAAGAACATTTTCTATACACACAAGAGACAAATGGTATAATAAATAAAAGGATGATTTCATCTCTAAATCTCTTAAATCTAAAATGAAGACTCCTAAGAAAAGTGTCTGTATTTGTGTGTTGGTGTCTTTTATCCAATTCTAAACCATGAACTTTCGATGTTGAACAGAGTGTGAAAATCTGCATTTGATGGTAATTACGCATATTATTTGTAAGAAGAGCAAAAATTAAATGAAAAGAAACAAAAATTGTAATGAATGGAAAAAAGATAAATTAATCCCATAAACCTCACATCTTCTTTCCACAATTGTGTAAATCATTTTAATCACACATTTTCTGCGCGCGATGTGTTTATTCTTTTTGGCGAAAATTATTATTATTATCCTTTCATCTTCCAGTCAATGAAAATTCGTTGTTATTTACGGATAAATTAACTTTGAGAGACTTTTTATTCATGTTTTGTATATGTAGTATTATTATTATTATTTTTATTATTATCTTTTTGGCATAAAGAGAAGGTGAGAGAGATATAAGATGAATTAATTAATGGAGCGTTGCTGATTAACAAAAGTTGAATGGTTTTTTTGTTATAACTTTCGCAATAAATTCATCTCCATTTCCTGCCACTTCTGTTTACGATATCAATAGATATATAGCAACGTTGTATTATTATCTGTTTTCAACACACATTAATAAGTCAGATTGTAACTCTTCAGTGAGTTGGGGGTGGGCGAGGTGGAAAACGGTGCAATCAATTGTATTAAAATGCAATTTCTCTTCCTCGAACGTCGCTTCTCGCGTCGCTTTTCATTTTCACCATTATAATATTATAATTAATATACACAATCCGGCAATCAATCATTGGCGATTATTGCCCTTTTTTGAGCAATACTTTTGCCCAGGAGGAGAAATTGCATAAGATTATTTCACTTTGGTGCTGATAAAGTCACAATAGAGCATCTTTTCACATACCTCTCCACACACTTGGCGCAATTGCTCTTGCAGCTTGCGAATGTTCGCCTCAGAACGCGCCATCTCTTGCCTATTGCTTCCGCCACTATTGCTGGCCGCCACCAGTGAGTCGTAGGTCTTCTTCTCCTGTTCTAGCATGAGACGCAGCGTTTGCATTTTCGAGAACTCCATTTCGCGCATCTTGTGTTGCTGTTCAGATAGAAATGTGTACAATAAATTGTTATGTTTATTGTTATATGCAAAGTAAGCACCGCCCACCCATAAGCCCCACCCAAAAGTACTTACGTCCACGGGAATTGGGGCTGTGATGCCGCCACGCTGGGCCAGAGGCGTCGATGGTCCTACGGATATACTCGACGGGCGCTGCATTTTGTTTCCTCTCTGAATAGTTAACTCAACAGTGGCAGATGCTGCAAGGAACAGAGACAATCATGGAAATTAATATCCAACACACTTCTAAAGTCTTATCAATAAATCCACCACGATTAAGGGTTCAATTGAACAATCTCTTCAAGCTACAAAAGTAATACAAATCGCAGAAATATATATTGCTATTCATAAGGAAACACACACATTCATGCTCTGAAGTGAAATTAATCACACAGAAGACATATTTTTTTGTATTTCATGCCACTATGAGATAATCAAAATTTGTATCAAAACAATGGATTTATAAAGAGCATTTTATGATATATATTGAATCTGATGTTAGACTGTGTACTTGTGTGCGTCACCCTGCAATAGAAACACATTTTATAGTGTTACACTAAACATATTCTGTCAATTGAACTCTCTCACACACACATAGACACAAACAAATACACAACTCAATCAATTGATAATTTTCCTTAGCTTCTTGCATTTCTTCGTCATTGTCTTCCTTTGCACTCTCTCTCAATGGGAGTTAATTGTGAGAAATACTGCACATTACTAACTGTATTTATGCTAATGCAAACTCTATCAATCCAAACAATACACTCAACATTTATTCGGCAGAAAAAGAGAAAATTTCAGTGCCATTAGAAGACATATCATGTCATTTCTCAGCTCTACAGAAATTCATGTGAGCGTGTGTGTATTTGTAAATGTTATTATTTTTCACCCTGAATTCTACTGTACATTGAGTGATCATTCATTGACTTAATTATTACTTGATGGCGCTCTTGAGCGACCAAGAGACTTTGTAAGAATATTTATTGCAAAATTGATATTTGTCAGTTCATAATTGACAAAAAAAATTTCAAATAATAATTTACACAACACAATAAGAAATTATTACCAATCAGTGTCACTCGATTTGCCATCCAAGCAAAGAAATTACACTGATAAACACTCTAAATTGATTTGATATCAATGAAATACATTTTAAACACCATCTCTCCCAACATCCTACCCAATGTGTCTCGATGCGAGACACTCAGTCGGACTTTTATAAATACAAATATTAATTAATACACTTAACCTTTAACCACTTGGGAGTGCGAGCGTGTATTTGTGTCACATGACAAGTGAATTGAGCATATAATCAAGCTGGAATTACATTATGGTATTATTCCTTTGCCCAGCCAAGTGACATTACAAATATAAATAATAAAGTTACCAATTTCTGCTCCCAATGCACTCAACCCTCTTCTTTTCACGTTGCAAAAGCGCAACCATTTCGTGATGTGTGACTTTTTGATTGTGATTTTCCATTTTACACTTTAATACACACAGCCAACAAACATCTCTCTTCTCACACAACTTGTTGACGGCACGCAATAAATTGCATTCATCTCCCTTGATTCTCTGCATGACGTGTTCTCCAGTATGTCATAAATGCAATGGCATCCCTCATCGCGCCTATTCCCACAACGTCAACCACTCTTTTCCGCCCCCCTCTCTCTCTCTCTCTCGCCCTCCGCCCGCCAACACATCTCAGCAAGTGCAATTGTGTGATATTAAATTCATAAAACTTACATTTAATTAACTTAACGACATCCGTGTGAGTTGAATATCGAACCGGTGTTCCATTGACCTGAAAAGGAACAGCGAAAAAAAGGCAGTAGTTATTAGAGAGTATGTCCGAAAACCAACCTAATTTGTCAATATTTTTATTGCCATTTGAAAGAAGTAAATTGCCAGAGTTTAAGCACTTTATTGTCGTCATACCTTCAATATCATATCCGACGCTATGAGTCCCGCCTTCTGAGCAGCTCCATTTGGTTTTACGCTCTCCACAAACACAGGATTATCTCCAGATACCTTTAGGTTTTGGGTGGAATCAGAGACATTAAATGTTAACTAATTTTATTCCACAACAATAAACACTGTAATTCTTTTCTTTGGCTCTTGAGAAAAATTAATTTCTAAACTACAACAATTCTTTCAATTTCATATCAAAAAAGGATAAAAAGTAATCTTTTAATTCTGGAATTTAGAACATTGTTTTAAACGGTTGAAACTACTAAATTCAGCACCAACAAAGCAACTTATTTCCCATCTCATTGCACGTCTATTCATCAGACACGCAATAAGAAAATGTTGTGGTGCACAAAAGATGATAAAACTCTCTTCACACTGCAAATTCACTTTGAGAGGGGATTTTACAGCAGAGCAGAGCTTATTTGGACATTAATTTCTATATTTATAACACAATAACACATTCAGAATTGTTTATGCCAAAATTCTGATCGCATTACTAAGGATTTAAGTGTTGCCTTTAATCATCATCTTTATGAGTTGATATTTCAAGATAATATAAATTGGCAAATTATTTCTATTATTTACTTGATAAGACGCAATGAGAATTGCGTCAAATTAAAACGTGATTTCATCAATAAATGGTGTTTCAATACACTCTGTCGTATATTTGTTCAATTCCTGCAAACGCTTTTGTATTTGGTTTAAATCCTCAACATATCAGCCTCGTTTTCCCCTAATAAAAATTCCAGTCATCAATTTGCCGCGGCTTTCAATTTCATTCCCACAAAATTCACTCACACTCTCTCTCTCCCTGTGTTATGGGATGGAAAGGGAATCAATTTTCACATGCGGAAATGCACCAAACGTGCCACTTAATCCAAAACAAATGGTCAATGTGAGGGTGAAAAGTCTGCACAGATGCGAATTACCTTCATGCCATAGCCATTGGAGTCCTTGTGTATCACCAGCGTGAGCGACTGTGCGGGCACGATGAACTTCTGCTGCTCCAGCGGCGACACGAGTGTCTGCGGTCGTCTTGGTCCGGCGCCATTCATCTGGCCTGCGGCCGCTGAGCCGTTTCCCGCTTGGACACGATGCGCGGCTGGCGGCGGCGGTGGTTTGCTGCGCGTGTGTATGTTTTTCACGGTGTTTTTGCACCACACATCGTACGTGTTATATTTTTTTATTCCAACCAGAATTGTTCATAAAATGTCATTCAAAAAATGCAATGCAAACAACCATCAACGAGCAACAATACCGTCATCAGCATTCCAACACCAAGGCAAAGTGTAAATGAAAGAGAAAAACAAAAAAAAATCTGAATTACTACAAGAAAAAAAATAATACACTCTTCACAAATGCACTTAAAAACACTAAACTACAGTTTATGGGAAAGTGCGGGGAAAATTCGCGCGCTGTAGCAAATAGAAAAAAAAGATCCATGGACAACGTATGATGAATATTTGTCTAAGAAACATTTTCTTCAATATGACCAACTAATGTAATGACGATAATATTCTTGGCATGAGCGCCAAGAGCAATAATAACAACATTGGAAAGTCTGTCGATCTTCGAAATTCTACCGATTTGGCCCCAGATGACGCCAATTTTTCAACACTCCAACACCCCAAATTCCACCAACTTCTCATCAATTCCGATATTAATAATTGAATATTATTCTCATTCCGTCAAATTAGTTCATAGAGACAGAGAGAGAGAAAAAACGTCGCGTGTCTTCATGTGGGAAGATTTTTTTTTTCATCTTCTACTTGGACAAAACATGGAATTTGTCTCACATTTTAAATTCTCTCATGAGAATTCATTTTACCACAAATATTCATGTCAAACTACAAAAATTTTTACCCAGAATTTCAGGAATTCATCGGTCAATGGTGAAATTTTTCTAAACATACAGACAATAGTATTAAGTTTAGAACATCAAACAATACATTATCAAAATGCTTTCAGCAATTAACAACTTTTCCGATGAAGAGATATGAGAAATGTGTCAAATTCAATCATTTTTTTTCCTTTTCTTGGTGAATATTTTCACTACATTTCACATTATTCCATTGCCAATCGATTCTCCCAAAGATTTAGAGAGGTTTTGTTTTTGAATGTCACCAAACTTTTGCCACCCACTGTTGAGTCTCTTGATTTTCTCCACTCTCTAGACACGCGATTTTAAAATCACACTGTCGCAATTTTAACATTGAAGAAGGCAAAGAAGTCAAAACACGAAATAAGAAATGAGAACATCATCGCTAAACGATAAATGTACGCACGTCTATTTGCATTTGATGATGGCTATTCGACAAATTCTCAACAATATGAGGTAAATTTTATTTTTAATTTATTACTTTTACACACAAATCGCACGACAGCACGTAAATATAAAATAGAAATATATATTTATTATCGGAAATTTATGGCTTTTCACTGAAAGTGAACGGAAAAAAGTCCACGAGCTTCTGAAGGGGGGAATTTTTCACCATTTAATACATAGAATCACACTTAGTCACATCATATTTTCGCATTCACTTAGCCAGGTACACTTCAAATCGCCTCTTAACAGCGTGTCATAGTTTTGCGACGAGCTTCAAATACACACACACAGATTAACATTATACTAATTTTATTCCAAAGCTTTAGCCATTTTTTTTCCTTCCTCCAATTCCTCACTCTTGGCCGAGTCACACAGTTATGGAAATGTCTTAGATGTGCATATTTTGCACACTTTTTCTCACTCTTTCACATCAGGCGAAAGACTTTATATATATTCCTTCTGTTATTATAGAAAACGAATATGCTGTAAAAATTCGTCAGACCAATAAAATTAACCCACTTTAATTTGTGATTTAAAATAGATGGCCAAAAAAAGCGTGAAATCTTTACGGTTCCGCAGAAATCTCATCATAAAATCCCTCTTCCCCAACACTTGATTGGAATGCCAAACAATATCCTTCAGACATGCATTTTCTCTTTCTTTCACAATTCATCTCCAATTATAATTCTAATACACAGTCAATCAACTGTCCTTGAGTTGTTTATATTAATTCTCCAACATTTCTCTCTCTCTCTCTTTCTCTCTCTTTTCTCACCCTCAACACACACCTGTCATTGATGGAACTTCTCTGTCTGTCTTCATGACAATAATTATGCAAATTGAATGGGTAGAATTAATTAAAATTTCACCCAATCCAAATTAACCATCAGCAATATTGCGCCCCATGATATTAATTATTATATTAACAAACATGCTCAACACGCTTCTGTCCTCTCAACATTTTCCCATCATTCGCAACATCGAGATTAAGATGACGATGATTCATTCAGGACGTGACGATTAGTTTTGCCGTCTCAACCGATTGCAATGTAAGCAAAAGAGAAGATAATATGGTGACAAAATGCAAAGAAAATTGTACGAGTGTGAATTATGGGAAATATGAGAAAAAGTCAGGGTTGGAAGAAGGTGATGTCACACTTCCTTACAAACACCTCAACAATAAATACTTCAGCATGTTTTTTTTGGCTATTCGAAAACACCACAACCAAATGTGATAATGGAACGGCTTTATACTATATACTTAGTACATATAAGTGTGAAAATGCGAAAAGCTACGTAAAGTGTTGTGTGGGGAATTTTCTGGAAAATCCTCAGTCAGAATTGAACATCAATAAATTATATTCATTAGTATTGCAAATCCCAGAGAAATGCAGAGGAGCAGAAGCAAATATTGTAATTATTAAATCACCGAATTTTTACACCGTTCCTGATATTATTCTCCATTGAAAATTTGATTTAATTTCTGAAAAAACGGCTAATTAGCATGATTTTCCCATAGAGAGTGTCATAAACCCCTTTCGGCCTGTTGCACCAACATTTCATCAATTTGCACTCATGCAGAATAAAACCAGGGGATGCAATTAATCTGACACTGAATAAACACCGCTTCGACCACCGAATGACAATTAAATGCAACAGTTTATTGATGTGGATTTCATCAGGAGACGAGGAGGGACACGGCGGTGAAATTTTAATTATGTTTTCGATACAACTAAAGGCAATTAGTCATCGAGAATGTATTTTTCCTATCAAACAATTCAATTGCATTCAATCCGATCCCCTTTGACGTGTGTTGGTACACAACTTTTAATTGAATGGGAATTTAAATAGGATATTCACGCTACAAAATATGCAAATTGTACAAATTCCTTTTGCTTTTTCTAATATCCATTTTTGGTCTATAAAATTACGATAAAAAATAGTTAAAGAATTTTCCATTTATATTTCTCACGTGAAGCATCATATATTTGATAATATGCAAGATAGAATAATACGAAAGATATGCGAAAAATCTGTTAGACTTTGAAGAATTTCAATGAATAAATGTCAGTTGAAGTATTTTAATGTGTTGCCACGGTGATAAAATGTTTCATTCGTCCGACATATATTTTTCCTTAACATGAAATTAAAGTCAATCAAATGGCATTTTATGCTCATGTGTGAAGAAAAACAAATATGTAGTAATTTTTTTTTGATTTGACACAATAGAAGAAAAAAGAGGAAAATTGCTGAATGGATGAATTTTTTACAATGAAAATGTTCACTTTTCTCTCACTTCGACGATAATTTTTCTTCTTTCACACAATATTACTCCTTTTTCACCAACAAAACAACACACAATTCCCTCGCGCGCACTCTTTCCGTTCATGTCTCACAAAATACTTTCTGGATCTCTGCACTCTGTTGTGGAGGAGACATGTGGATGTAATAATATAGCAACAACAGAGCGCGAGAGAGTGAGAAAAAAAAGTGTAGACGATGAAGAAGTGGATGAAAAAAAGAACTTAAAGAAACTGTTAAACACGATAAGAGCAGTGATGGTGAATAACACCCACAAGTATCAGGCAGTCGACACAGAGAGAGCAGGAAATACGGTACAATATTGAGATGTTTTCAGTGTTTTGGATTTCAACAAACACAGACAGAGAGAGAGAGAGAGAAAAATCACATATTTCTGTTGTGAAATTCATTCTATTCTCACTACGGGTTTATTCAAAAATATTTATTTCACCTGATATCTCAAGGGAAATTCAGTGTGTGAATATTGCAAACAACATGTTTTTCTAACACATCTTCCAATTCGTGAATATGAAAAGAACCATTGATTATTCTATATGGATTCCCAAAAGCCATCAGGTCATTGCATTGGCAATTGGAATTGATTCCCTAGAGTTTATTTCGAGGACTATTCCAGGCAAACCATATGCATTTGATGACCCAAAACCCAGACAGATGATATCTTCTCTCTATTTCTGTTCCTGCCGAAGGGAGGGAATGTTTTCATTGCACAAAAACCCACCCAATTTATTTCATCCTTCTCCACTCAAACTGAGGCTGCAAATTATCACTCGATACCCAAACACACACCTGCCACACAATATCATCCAGAGCCAGCGAACAAAAGGAGGGAAGAGTCAAGTCAAAAATTCCCTGTGCATGATTCAGACACTTGGCAAAAACTTGGGATAGAAAGGCAAAGTAAATGTCGATAAAAAATGTCGGTATAGAATCTGGCGTGATGCCTGATGATTCATAAATTGAGCCATCTCTTGGCATTCTTTGAGAGAGATGGAAAACTTCAAGCACATGAGAGCAAAGAGTTAGTTTTGGTGTCAAGTTTGTGGACTGGAAATTAAATTTATATTGGGAGAAAGAATATAAATCAGAGGGCGTGTTTATTAGGGAGAATATCGATTGTGAAAGGGACGTAATAAATTATGTGCCAGCAAGGTGTGTGTTTGGGAATAAAAAAAAGGGAATGCCTTTGATCAAAGGCACGGTTTTAGTTGAATGAATCTCTGGTGCGAAGAGTTTTCCACTCCATTCCGAAGTAGTTCAAGTGTTTGAGTTTAGTTAAAAAAAAAAATACTTTTACAGGGATGAAACTGGCCAGAAGTGTCAATTTAAAATATCAAATATTGAAGGCGTCTCAATGTCTAACATTGCTTAAATTGACTTTAATTTATTGCGAAATTTTATCAAAAATCCGCCACAAATTTTGAGCAATTTAGATCTAAGAGAAAATCTTCACATCTCCTAACTATATATCAATAATCGATGAAGAGAGACAAAACTGAGAAGAGTAGAAATGAGTTGCAGAAGAATTTGGTTGTTTAACACTCAATTACATCATCTTCTTTGATAGCTTAGCGTGACAAATTTTTACTTCTCGAAGATGAAAAGTGTGTACAGAAACAAATATCTATGACTTCACTTCTTTTTGCAAATGAATTTCCTTTTGCCACCACCCCAAAATGTGTATTTTGGTAAAAGAGATATTCTACATTAAAATAATCCACCCATTTATTTAATGTTTGCCTTGAGACCATCGTGAAAAGCCACCACATGGAGATAATAATGCTTTGATGCTGATTGATGGTGTATTTGGCAAACTGGTAAAATGTAGAAATAAAATAGTGTTACTTCACCGGTGGCAAGGTTTGATGCGATATTTGTATTGTTTTTTCTACCAATGTTTTCCATTTTCATGAATAGTAATTTTGCGCTTCTACACGGCATTTTACGGGTTAATTTTATTTATATATAGACACACACACACACACCTATGCAAATCGCGGGTGATTCTGCCAAAGTGAGAAGCACAAACACTTACTTGCATGTGCTTTTGATTAGCAAACTTCAGATGAGCACTCAATGGAATGACCGTTTTTGGGTAGAGAAATTACATAATTGCATGCCAATGAGAATAATATACTGTTGATTGCAGAAATACTTTGACACTCATGGCCAGATTATTTGGTGTAAAATTATTGTTGTGTATATGAAAAGGGGCGGAGCATTTGAGAAGGCGGAGCATCACATTTCTCCCATTAAAAAGAAAAAAGCACTCGCAGAAATCTCTCATACAGCAAATTCACCAGCATGCTGGCCTATCCTCATCTCCACTTCCCGTAGGAAAGAAAACCCGCTGAGATAGATGGAAAATGGCAATTTTATGACTCTTTTCCTCCCCCTCATCCATTCACATCACCCACAATTATCTGACACGTGTTATTTGAAGCCAAAACACTGGTCTATAAACAGAGAAAGCCCACATACAAATTAATGCAATTCAACTGGATTTTATTTCAAGACACTCGCTTGGCATGGTTCACACATGAGGGAAGTCTTAAATTCTTTCCCTCTCCCTCTCTCTCTTGCTCGATCGCTTTATGCAAAAAAGGGGACACAAATTTAGAAAATCCAATAAAGAAAAATCCTTATCTACTGCTCTGTTTTCCTTGCTTTGTCGTCAATGAATTCCAACCACCCACAAGCAGTCCCAGCAGTCCATTGAAGGCAAAGGAAGAGTGAAAGAGGGAGACATTTTCCACATCCATGAGTAGTAAAAGTGGCAATTAAAAATTATCCACGAATGAAATAAGAAATTACACCCAAACTACAAATGTACAAGTGTGTGCAATGAAGAAATTTAATGATAGAGCGCGAAGAAGAAGGAAGGAGATAGATAAAACCACCATAAGTCACACACTAGTACATGTTTTGGAGTGGTAAAAAATATACACATGAGGCTTTTTTCTTGCCTTCACTTCTCTCTCTCTCCCTCTTCCACTAATGTAAATAAACACACATGAATATATTAATGTTGAGGAGACTCTATGTGAAGGAGGAATGAATAATAAAAAAAAACACGATTTTTATCTCTAAACAATGCTACAGCGCGCGAAGAACGAGAAAGCATAGCAGAATTGAGAGGGAGAGAAAGAAATTAAATGCAAAAGAATAAACATTAAACATCCTGAATAGAGAAAATCATATTAATATTTTAATTTCTCTCTCCCTTTCCATGCAAGAGTCAAAGAAAAAAAAAGAATTAATAGTTGCTTCTGGGATTTAACTTTTTAAACTATTTATATACGTAATTTCGCAATGTTTTGCACAGCTCTTTTTTCATCATCACCGTCTGTCATCGGCACTGCACAAGGAGGGACAAGAAGACACTGACATCATTGCCAAGGAGGTGACATCAACTGTGTCTCGGGTGGAAGAAAAACAATCAGCGGGTTTCTCAGTGTGCAAAATTGGGACAACACTTTCATAGATAAATGGAATCTCAAGTGCAACATTCGCAAGATAATTTGCTCTTATATTGACAATGCAGTCGCATTCAAAATACCAAGAGAGCCACACAAAAGATAAGAATGTTTCCTGGCTATTCGCAATGAATCCGATTCACTTCAATTCTCAAGACCTCAAGCACTGAATAATTTCTTTTTCTTTTTTAATTGGTTATACAATATTTTGAAATGACATTGAATCTCAAAATTCGGTTTATTTCTCCACTTCTTTTTATAGTTTTCACTGAAAAATGCGCATTTCATTAGGGCTCTTTGCAATGGACAACTACATAAATGGAAGTACTTTTCTCTAATTGAATTCTTAGTAAAAGAGTAAGATAGATTTAGAGTAAAGGTTACGGAAAGTTTGCGAAATTTATAATTTAAGAAATTTGTCCTTTGTTCACCTCTTTGACATTGTAAAAACGCGTTCTTTTACTTCAATTTTGGATTATTTCTATACTAAGGATGTGCAATTTTGGAAAATAAACTTTTGTTTGTGTTTTTATTTGTACTTTTACAACTTTTACGTTAAGTAAAGTGCAAGAGAGATTCAAATAAGAGAAGAGTGTTGTCTCAATGTAGCATTCCACGGAGTGCACAAAGTGCTGCGCTGAGAAACCCTCTGAACGGGCGTCCCATTGCGAAATCAAATTATCCGCTCATTCCGGGAGTGCGCGAGGAGGGGAAGGGGGGCAGACAGGAAGTGCAGAGGGCGTGCGCTGCATGCGAGGATGCACTCACCTCTCGTGTGGCGGCGTCGATAAGTTATCCATGGGCTTTATTGCTTGTGTAATCCTGATTGGCTTCTCACTCACACCATTTGTCTGGCACTCTGCTCCCCATCCGGGGAGGATCACAAGTCACTGGGTTTCACGCAAGGACCACTCTGGGGCACTCCCACGGACGCGTCGTCGGAGCGGTCGGCGGAGAGTCGGCCTCCGCGAGCGCGCCCTTCCGGCGCGGGGCAAATGGTGGCTGCGAGGACACAAGTGAGATGCACTCTCTCCTCGCCCCACAGCGCACAATGCACGAAAAGTGCCTGGCTAATTGATAGCACACAAGATGTGGAATTAGCAGCAGCAGCCCAGAAGACTGGAGCCACTGCGACAAAAAGCATACACACACTCAACGCGAGACGGAGAGAAAACTGGTGTGAGAAATGGAAGGCAGCACAGCAAAGAAGAAAAAAGTCTTCACAGATTTCGCGACAAATGCTCGCTAGTCAGTCTACTTATTCCACCAGATGCACAATTAAACACATTTGGACACCAATTGTGGGTGATTTGGGTAAATAAGAGCACTTTTTGCATTATTTTCAAGCAGGAAAAAGTCCTCACAAAAACACTCCACCTTCCATCGCAATGACAGTGAAGTGGAGTGGTGAATTTGGTCGTGGGTGGTGAAAACATCCAGTTACCTTCTCGTTGATCGTGGCGCAGCTACGCGGAGTGTAGGCGAAGTGAGAGAGAAAGAGAATTCAACACCACAAAGTCTGCAGAATCCACAGAATTGTCCAATGAAAGGGCGAGAAAAAATTGTGATTTATTGACTACTTGCACTCTTCAGCGCTCTTCTTCAGGATCTTCCTGCCCACGAGGTCCAGACAGCACGGGGTCGTCATCTCCTCGATGTCCGTGTAGGAACTGTCGGATTCATCGCTGGAGTCATACTTGCCAATCCCAGGAAGAACGCCCAGACAAACGAGACCTTTCTTCTCGGCTGGCTCATCTCTCGACGATCCCTCGGCTTCGCGCTTCCTCACAATGACACCTTTCAGAATGGATTTCTGGGATGTGTGGCTGCTGGACAGGTTCTTGCTGATCTTCGGCTTCTCCAGTTCAATCTTCCGCTTCTGCCAGAGATATTTTCATTCAGCTCTGAGATGAAGATTTACTCCTGGTGGCAGAACTTACTCGATCAATTTGGCTCTCATCGATGGTGTTCTGTCTCTCCCGGAACTCCTGCAGCTCCTTGAGGTCCTGCAAGTGCTTTGCCTTCTCTGCATTCATCTTCGACTGATCCACCATGTCCAGGAAGTCTATCTCATCGTCATCCAGGCCACGGATGAGATTCTCTGTAAAACACTGCGACTTTCAGACAAACAACAAATTCCACCACGGAAGTTCTTACTCAGCTTCCGTGATTCCTCAAATTCCAAGTCCTTCTTGTCCTTCTGCTCCTTCAGCCTCTCATACAGCGACCGGCCATCGTAGGGCTCCTCTGGCTTCTCTGTGGAGCACCATGAAACGAAAAAAACGTGAGGCAACACTCAATTGACTAAAGCAGAAAAATCACCTTCAGGATCATCGGGCTTTCGCACTTTTTCCCACTCTTCCTGGCGCTTCTTCTTCGCCTCCGCCAATTCAGCCTCAGATATAAATCCCGAACTCATTTAGCCGGAACTTCTCAAGGAAATTTGGATTATTTTGTGCTTTGTTTTGGTTGGAAAATTTATATTGACATTGACAGTTCACCAAAACCCCAAAAAGACATGGAAGAAACATCGGACATTTCTGCAGAAATTCACGGTATATGAATCTTGTTAGAGCTGATTAGTCTTAAATTCGAATTGAGGAGATTGAAAAATCACAATTTATCTTATTTTGAGAGAATTGAAAAGTAAGAGAGCCTAAATATCTGTTAAATAATCTTTAAAAATGATTATTTTGCTCTAATTTCTGGACTCTTCTGTTTTACGATTTATTCAGACTGAAAATTGAAATTGCCACAATTTACTAAATATAATTTATTTGGCATTATTTCTAATTTTTATAAAACATAGAAAAATACTAAAACACAGGATATTTCCAATTTACAAAGGATGTTTTGCGCTATAATTAATCGTGAACTCTTTATGTACATTTTAATGAAATTAATGTGCGAAGGAAAATTATCAAATTGATTAACTATTGCTAAATTGCAGAACTGCGCTCTTATCTGAATAGTCTCATTGGTCTGGAGGAGAGTGGCGTCTGATCTGTGTTTTCTGTCTGCCTCAGCTGCTTCCGGACTTGCAAATTCCCGTGAAACATGCCCGAATCTTCTTTCGGTGCACAATTCTGCCAGTTCTCAATCGCCCTCAGCGCCTGCGGATGCCTTTGCGATCCGCCGCTCAGTGCGAACGACGACAGACTGCTGAGATTCGGCGTCCTGGACACCGATGGTGAATCCCTGGTATTCGTCGGTCGTCTGCCCACGATCGCGGGAAACCCCTCGCCCGTGGTCACACTCTGCAGCGTCCTCTCGAGCTCCAGACAGTGGCGAAAGCACTCTTCACAGTGCTCCAGCATCCACTTCTCCTCCGTCTTGCCACTGCTCGCCTTCACGCGCACATCCTCACCACTCCTGGTCACCATGCCGCCATCGTAGAACGTCAACTCGCAGTCCACGAGCGACTCCATGAGCTGACACTTGGCTTGCGTACTGTAGAACGTCACCTTGGGCGTTTTCTGGCGCACCAGATCGACGAAGCGGGCAGCATATCTGTACTTCTTCCAGTGAACCTCCGGCAAGTCATCGTGGCTGTATTCTTCGGCATGCGGCGGAACACCTGGTGGCTCCTCGCGCACGGGCGCCACTCCTCCCGGCGGCTCGTACACCACAATGCGCCGCCCATCGCCCGAGATGCGACACACTTGCGTCACACACTCGCCCAGCGTGCGCATTCGGATGAACTCCACCGTCACGTCTCCGCCTGGCAGGATGTGGAACACCAAGTTCTTCGTGCTGTGCCGCGTCGCCTGCAGACGCCGCGTGTTCAGCGGTGGCACATCGAGGCTCCGCTTCACCGCTAGATCCGAGAGGAAATCCGGAGCACTCTGGGTGGCCTCGAAGCAGCGCCGTGAGCGGTTTTGGCTGCTGGAAGAGGTGGCGAAGCCACTGTCCATGGACTGAACATGGAGCAGGCTGTTGGCCAGCATGAATGCGTGCCTCGGGATGTCCTCCAGGGCGATCCGCTCGCTTGGGTTCTTCTGCAGCAGCCGCGACAGGAGATCCACGGCGTCTGGCGAGAGGTAGCTGGGCAGCTGGCACGGGCTCGTGACCACACGATTGAGTGTCATAGAGGTGGCAGGCGTGGCGAAGGGCGGACGCCCCACGAGCAGCGTGTAGATCATGATTCCCACACTCCACACGTCCGCCGGCGGCCCGTGAGACGTCCTGGACGCCACCTCGGGCGACATGTAGTTGGGTGTGCCGCAGAGCGTGACGTGACGCTCATCCGGAGCCTCCAGCTGCACGGCGAGCCCGAAATCGGCGATCTTCACGCGCCGATCGTCCATCAGCAGCAGATTCGACAGCGACAGATCGCGATGCACGATCCGGAGGGAGTGGAGATACAGTAGGCCAGCCACCACTTGCTTCATCACGCCCGCAGTCTCCGTCTCGGACATAGTGCGCCCCAGATTGTTGAGGAAGATCTGCAGGTTGCCGTGACGCGCCAATTCCAGCACTAGATAAACGTAGTTCTCATCCTCGAAGAAGGCAAACATCTCCACGATGGACGGATGCTTCAACTGTGAGTGAATAATCACCTCTTGCCTCACGCGCTTCTCCAATCCCCGCTCCAGCATCATCCGCTTGTCGATCTGCAGAAGAACCGGAAAGGATTATTAGCTTCGCTGCCTCAGAAGATGCATCAGTCATAAACTCACCTTCTTAATCGCCACAAAGACTCCTGTCGTCAGGCACATGGCTTTGTACACTTGAGCAAATCCTCCCTTGCCCAATGGCTCTAGCATCCGGTAGTCCTGCAGGAGACAGATAAGAATAAGAATGAAAACATTCATTTTCCGAAAACAAACAAAAACAAGCTAACCTCAATTCTCTCTCCCAAGTTCATCTTAACGTCTCGGCTCATATTTCACCACTCAATTTCACGATCAATACCTTCACACGCTGTGCTTATTGATGAAACTATACGGACTTTTACGCGGAATTGGGAAAAATCAACTGAAAATGCAGAAAATTCAGCGTATGAATTTCACAGTCGTTGCTTGGCGTCATTTTTTTCAAAACTTCTCACTGACACGAGCGCCTCTCGTGGCAAATTTCAATTCTGGGACTCATTTGACGTGCGTGTCACAAATCTCTCTTTTACTTCCGTCGCTTGCGCTTGTGCATACAAAATGGGTAAGTGCTCAGTTTTTCTGTGAAAATTGGTGGGAAATTCCTTTGAACTGTGGAAAATTTGTGAGTAATAGTCTCCCTGAGAGTTGTTGTGTGAAGTGAGGGTGGAATTTTGGTGGATTTGTTGGGAAAATTGTAGAGAAAAGTGAGAATCGTTTGTCCGGCTATTGAGTGCCATCATGGCAGCAGCGTGTTTTGTAGTAAAATCCACTTTTATTTCAACCATCCTTCATGGGAAATGTGTTAAATGGTGTGGAATTGCTGAGATGTTTAATGCTAATTCTCTGTTTGAAGGCATATCGGTGGGAATTACCTGAAAGTGTATCTTTTGTATGACTTTTCTGCCTGTAACATTTCATCGGCAAATCAGCATGTAAATTGGAAGATTATTGATTTTTCTCGGTGTCTTGGCGCGTAGCAAAATGCACGGGGACCGTCTTGACCACCGCGACGGTGGGGAGAAGTGTGGGGAATGGGGAGAAAAGTGGGCAGACAGTGGTTTTGGGTTGATGTGTGACACATAACCTCATTGTTCATGTGTGTGTTTGTGTTTTGTAGGAAAGCCGCGAGGTCTCCGGACTGCTAGGAAACATGTGAACCACCGTCGTGACCAGCGATGGGCGGACAAGGACTACAAGAAGGCTCACTTGGGCACACGCTGGAAGGCCAATCCCTTCGGCGGCGCGTCTCACGCCAAGGGAATTGTCCTGGAGAAAGTGTAAGTTTTCCACAGCTAACGCTACTCCTTGATTCCTTCCAGGCGCAACTCTGCAGGCAGTCTGGTGACTCGCAGTATATCCCTGTGATTCGGTTGTTCTGAGATTCCGATCACAGGAGTATATACTGTGAGTTACTGAAAAGCACCAATCGACACAGGTTTTCTGCATTCTTGAGCGTGAAATGCACTTAAATAGTCCTTCGTGGAGTGTAAATTTGCGGTGAATTGTTGAATAAAGACTTGCTCTTTTTGCAGCGGTGTCGAAGCTAAGCAGCCCAATTCTGCCATCCGGAAGTGCGTTCGTGTCCAGTTGATCAAGAATGGCAAGAAGATCACGGCGTTCGTGCCGCGCGACGGCAGCTTGAACTACATTGAGGAGAACGATGAGGTCCTGGTGGCCGGATTCGGACGCAAAGGTCACGCTGTGGGCGACATTCCCGGCGTCCGCTTCAAGGTAGACGATTGAGTGGATTTTGTAATTTGCCGACTCGCCGGCTAATTGGCTTTCTTTCGCATCTTTTCAGGTGGTGAAAGTGGCGAACGTGTCACTGCTGGCGCTCTACAAGGAGAAGAAGGAGCGGCCACGATCATAAGTTATAAGGAGGAAAGCCCGAGACGCGTTAATAAATGTGGAAGAAGAAAATCTCAGTGGTTTTGAGGGTAAAAGGGTGAGAATTTTTCTAATTTTTTCAACGGCGACGTCAATTGCTTCATCATCTGCTTTCAAGCCTATCTGGGCTCAAGCATTGAAATTTTTCAGGAATACAGTGAAGGATTGTTTGACAAAAAATTGAATCAAAATACCATGTTTGACAATGACAATGTCTTTTTATTATGGAAACAGCAAATTATCTCGACTTTCTGGAGAGCAAACTTGAGTTTAACTTGAGCTCGTGATTCGATATTTTCGCGGCGATACTGTTGCCTTGCGAGAGGTGAAAAGGGTGAAAAGCACTGCGCGTGAGCGGAGTTACTGGAAGCGCTTCCAGTCTTTCTCCGCACAGAGTCGGTCGGAAAAGATGTTCCTGAGGCGAAAGTGGTCAATTGAGTGGCAGTGACAAAAGTGGCCACACGAGTCACACCTCGCGGTTGTTGCTGCTGAGGAAGAAAAAAAAAGTCTCCTGGAGTATTGAAGAGGATTCTCGAGTGCAGTGCGTCTCTTCTTCCTCCTTTTCCCTTTCCCCCTTTCAAAACACCTCGAGTTCTTCCTCCACAGTGTCCTCTCTGTCCTCCATGGTTCTCCCATCGCTCTGACTCTGCTCTTGTGTGCTTCCACAAACTTCTTCGCCTGCGAAATGGCCTTAAACTCGAGTCCGAGCGCCGCTGATCGGGGTGGGATTGAAATGGTGCCTTTGAACAAGCAAAACAGCCAATCTTCCATGACGTCGAAGCAATCGAAGCGGCCGACCCAGAAGAAACTGCAATTCTCCACTCCGGAGTGCAGCGTCACGCCGATCTCCGCGATTCCTGGCAATCGCATCCTGCTGCCCGGACGCAAGAGGTGAGCGTAGAGAGACAGACGAGTGATGCAATTCCCTCTTGACATCGCGTCTGTGACCAAGGGGGAGATAATACGAATTGCACTTCACTCACTGGCCTAAGCTCCCCTCATAATCTGAAAAACTCCTTGAACTGCTTAAGAGAGGGAGGAAATTCCAGGAGAAATTGCAAGATTTCTGTGATTTTTCTCCTTTATTAACCTGAAAATTATTTACTTATTTTTTATTAACAATATTTTAAAATCCAGAGTTGATATTTTTCTGTGAATCAGCATTAAATTGTTTTATGAGTCTTTTTTTTGCCATTCACCCAATTAAGCCTTAAAATAATTCTTCTTAAGGAAAAGTCTGAAGTATTTTTTATCTGAAACAATTGGCTAATAAGTCTTAAGTTTGAATCACTCAAGAGGAATTTATTCCTAAGACTTGCGCGAGAGTTGTACAACGCTTCTGACCTGTCTCTCCCTTGCTCGCGACAGGGAGGAGGCGATTGTGATGGCGAACCTGCGGAAGAGAGTGGCTGCTTGTGACCTGACCAGGAAACGTGTCCCAGGCACTTCAGCGCCGGATGATGTCAATGCCAATGAGATGTGCGCTGAGCAAGGCGCGACTGAGCCTCTTCTGGACAACCGCCCGCAGCTTCCGAAGGTGAGAGACGCTACCATTAGTCACTCTTTTGGGTCTTGTGATAAGATTCCAGTTGAAATTACGTCCTTAAGCGCCTAAAACTGCAGTTTTTCTGCCGTCCTTTGCTGAACAGAAAAGGAACAGAACGAATTTATCCTTTCTTATCAGCCTGCTTTCAAATATTGAAAAAAATCTTGAAAAAATCCCATGATTTTTCCTTCTTTTTTCTCCCTGCAAATGGTGGAAAATTATTTTCACTGGAAGTTTCCCAGGTCACAATTCAACCATTCAAATTGTTTACATCACGAAGGCGATAAACCTGTCCAGTTGTTGGGAATGAAATCCGCATAATGAGGAAGTATCAAGTGTGTAAATCACACACACGCAATTATTCGATCCATCATGAGGTTGAACTCGCGCAGCGGGAAAGCAAACTATCGAGAGCCTTAATTGCTCAATACCACTTTAATAGGCCAATAAATCGCCCTCAATTTCTCTCTGTCTCTCCCGAAGGTGACTTCAAAGCACAGGGACATGAACGGAGATGAATCGCCGAAGATGACGGTGATTCAGGACAAAGACTTCATCCTCGACTGTCTGTGTTGGCACAATGAGTATCGCGCGCGTCACGCGGCGCCAGCGCTCACGGTTTCCACTGAGGTGAGTTGCAGAGCCTCAAAAAAAATGGGTAATTTCGCACGGATGAGCAACTTTTTCTGGTCAGTGGTTCAAGTTCAAGGGTGTGATAATTCCCACCCTTGTCTCTGTCACTGGCACGAATCCCAATCGAGTTGAGTACACGCGGATGAAGATAAACATATCAGAATGGAGATTTGGATGAGAAGAGTCGCAATCTCGACTTGAAATCAAATGATTGTCGCACAAAAGGATTCGAAAATGATTTCTTCAGAGTGATGAGATAGAGATATAATTCAGAAATTGAATGAAATCACGCGAAAACAATTAAATGTCCACATGTAACAATAAGATTATGAAAATCTCTGTTCTTTCCAACTCTGTTTTGCAGCTCTGTGAATGGGCACAGAATTGGGCAAATCATCTGGCGAGCACGAATGAATTTTACTATCGCTCGGACAAGAATCTCGGGCAGAATCTCTTCTGCTGCCCCATCAGCGCCCTCGTGACGGATCTCACGGGTCAGGAGGTGGCGTCGTACTGGTACAGCACGGTCAGGCGCTACAACTACTTCAAGGAGCCTCGCCTTCTGCACACCAACGTCAATGCTGGTGAGTGCAATTTGTGTCCGCTCAATTGGCGGCCACTCGTCCAATGATAAAGGCTGAGTTTTATCGCGCAGCCAACATCAAACAATTGAGGGTCATTGGCGAGAGCGGCACTAAATTTGGCAGTTTAGTGGATTATGTGTGTGCGCTCGTGCATTGGGAATTCCACAGAGGCTCCTTGGCTGCCGTCCTATCGCACGATCTCGAATTGGGCAGAAGCTTAGCAGACAATTCGTATTGTGCGACAAGAGCCAAGAGAAGTTGTGGCTAAAATAGAGCTGAGTGGGTGGGAATGTAATAAAAGGAATGGAATTTCATTGAGTGCTGAATATTAAGTTGGAATCGCTACAATGTCAGTGATATTTTACGGAAAATGCTGATTTTGGGCTCTTCAGCATCTTAAGTGCTCGCTTTGAAAGAGCCTTTCCACGATACTCTTTCATAAGCATCTCACATTGCAATCTTTGATCTTTCTTGTTCTTTGTAGGAAATTATTCAAAATTAATTCATGAAATTAAACAGAATAATTCAAAGATAAAATAAGCTACAAAATGCAAGTTTTTGAATATATTTTATAGCTAAATAACTCTATTCAATTATCTTCCCAACTTTGCATTATAACCATAATAACTAAGGAATAGAAGATTGAACTGAGCTTTACTAAGAGGATGAATATTTAAATCTGAAATACACTTGAACATTTTTTGTAGCTTTCTAGTGAATTTCGATCAATTCAAGCACTGCAGTAAACTCTGGTCTCTATTCTGCTCAAAGTTTAGCATTTTGAAGCACAAAAGCGAAAATTCAGCTGAGGAAAGCATGCTTTTCCGCTCACTCTTTGCAGGCCATTTCACGCAGATGGTGTGGCGCAGCAGCCGATACTTCGGCGTGGGCAAGGCCACGTCCAGGACGGGTAAGATCTTCGTGGTGGCGTACTACTTCCCGCCTGGCAACGCCGTGGGCGCGTTCCAGCAGAACGTGCTGCCGCCCATCATGGACCAGGAGCCGGCGGGCAGTGACGCGGACAACAATCCCATAATGTCCATCCTGAAGCCGGCCAGCGGCGCCTCTAACTGAGGCGCGCGGCGGCGCTGGAAAGGCATCACGCGGTGGCCTCGCAGAGTTATATTTTTGATAAAGTTTAGGATCGCGCGACTCTCGCGACTGATGTAGCAGAATATGGCAGCGATGCACTGAGACAGGGATAGGAAGAGCCTAGGAAGTGTGTGAGTGTATGTGGATGATTAGGAGAATGTCGATTTGTTTGAATGCACAAATTTTTTTGGGAACGAGGAGGGGATTTTGTAATGTGATGGAATTAAAGAGGTAAGAAATTATATGAGACTAAAAAAAGATTGTTGCAACAACATTATACATTCCAAAGTATATTTATATACATGAAGATGGTTGAAAGGGAAGGATTCTAGAACTTTATCAATGGCAAGGGGGAGATATTACGATCTGAAGTGATGTACAGCTGTGTTGGCGCAGAATTTTTAGTTTCTTTGGATTAATTTGCTTTAAAAAAAGATTAGTTTTTAGTATTCTTCTAGGTTTATGTGATAAATTTAAGGCAGATTTAGAAAGTCACTAACCTCAAAAAACCAAAAATTTGCATTTAAAAACAGCTATTTTAGATATTCTTTTAAAAATGTAGCCCTAAAATGGTTAATAATAGTTTTTGGTTTGTTCAGAACAAAAATTACAAGAGAATTTACACAAAAACACCGTTTTTGGCAAACAACTGGTTTTCTAACCACACTTTACCTCACAATTTATTAAATATTCTAGTGAAGAAACTTAGAGGAAGCCTAAAAAGTGCTAAAACTGATGATTAAACATGTTTTAGAAAGTGATTCTCAGATTTCAGGATGTCAGTCATATTATCTCCTCCTTGATAGAAGGTTCTCTAACAAAAAAAAAGGTGGATAATTATCAAAAAAGAAATCTAGTTAAAATTGAGGCTTCAAGTTATTTAGAAGTAATTACCAAAACAAATTAAGAATATCAAAGAAATCTTTCAACCCTTCTTAACACATATAATGCAATTTTTTGAGTCTGTTAGAGTCGTGAAAACATATTTAGAAGCGCAACATAGAGCATAAAGTGAGGTGAAAAGAGAGATGAAATCGTATACTTCCGCATTGTCGTCCATTTTTTGGTAGATGCACAAAATAGGAAGAGTTAGAAGGAATTTTACTCAGAGGATATTTTAGTTAGCAGTTAGCTAAACATTATATGAAATACAATTGTGAGAGAGAGCGCGATTTAGGATATTAATTTAGCCATGAATAAATGCAGAATCAGTTCTTCCACATTAGATTGAGAATCAAAGAGTCTGCAATTGACGAATGCTTTTAGTGTTTGCGAAATTTTAAAGAAAATCTCTTCCTAAATCGCTTCATTTCGACAAAGAAAATTAATAACATTTTAGAAAATCTGCCTTGTTTTCCGTCTGGCAAACAAGCACAAAAAAAATCCCCCATGCGAAGATAGTGATAATTGCTTAATGGAAATTTAACGGAGAAAAAAAATTACAGAGATATTTACATAATTAGTGTAATATTGCAGAAACTGTTACTGTAGCAACAAAAGGTGAAATCAAATATAACAGTGGTGAAATGTTTGATGGTAATCTTTTAATTTAACTAAAAGGCTCCGTCGTTGTTCCGCAAATTGCGTGAAAAGTGGCCATCAAACGCTTGTTTTTTTCTTCACACTGGAGTAGGAATTTCTGCCCTAATTTACAGCACTCCCAGGATTTCTCAACAATTGGCTTGTTTTCCGTAGAATTCTCCTATTTTTGTGTATTCAAAAAAGATGAGGAGTAATATATGCAAGAGATATTATCACTTTATTTATCCTATAAATTCCCTAAATTCGGTTTTATTCTAGAGACGATAATAAAAATTCAATCATTAAAGCTTCTTCCTCTTTGGAAGGCACATTATTTCATTGTCAAATTCCTCTGATAGTTTTTCCTCCCACGAACTCCCACTCAACTTGATGTTCCTGAAGGAAATCTCCTCTGTCGTTTCCGCTGCACTCTTGGGCGTCTCTTCGGCATCACTTCCAGCGAGAATCTCTCTCAGGACACTGAACATTTCTGCGCGAGATTCAGCAGATTTCGGGACGACGTTCAGCTCCACTTTGCGCGGTTTTAGGAAACCAATGAAATCCTTCAACTCCGCGAGACTCGAGTGGCTGGAGTAACACACGCGGAATATTCTGGATTGAGACTTCGTGAGGCAACTCGTCGTCTTCCAGTTGCGCCAGAACAGCGCCGACGGACGAATTTCGCACACTTCTTTTCCCTGATGCCGCACAGCTGAGCATCCGGGCTTCCAGCACGCGTGCACCTGACTCTGCTGTCCGTCCAGCACGAACACACCGTCCATGTCGGGAATGTGGCAGTAACTGGACAGATTGTCCAGATCGATGTGGAGGGATTTTTTGGTTCTGCGGTGAATTTCCCTGAACAGGAACTCCGATCCGTAGCGAGCCGGCGTATTGATCCACACGATGTGATTCGGCGAAGTGCCAGTCCACTGCTGGATCCTCGCCACAATGGCATTTGTGCTGTCCATGCGAGAGGGAAACTCGGCGAATCCCTTGTCCAGGAATGTCGAATCCACGTAAACACAGTCCAAATTGCTACGGATTCTCTGGAACACCTTGACATTTCGCACATCCTTCTCACGCAGCCGGAAGTCTCCCGTGTAGAGGACTCTGCAGCCGGGCGACTCGAACAGGAACATCACAGATCCTGGACAGTGACCAGCTGGAATTGTCGTAACGTGCACAGTCTCTCCGCGGATGTCAATTGCCGTCTCCACGCCAATCTCCAGCGTCCGCACGTCTGTTAAGTGGCTGAACTTCCTGCGCAAGATCACAGTAGAGATCTCACTGACGAACAGCGGCCCCGGCAGTCCCTGCAAGTCCTCCAGGCCGTACATGTGATCCGTATGGCAGTGCGACAGGAAGAACACCGAAGACGCGCGATTTTCGCCGTCAAAGCGATCCACTGACACGCCAGGAAACTCACTGAGTGGTCCAGGAAATGTGCTCATTCTTATTTGGCCAAATCACAGCGCTTTTCTCCTTCACACAGCAAAATATTGTGCAATTTGCAAACATAAACAAAGAGTGACGTCACTCGTGGGTGATTTCTGCTGACTTCACGCAGTGCAATTTGAGCATAAACGAATTTATTGATCTTCAAGAGATTTTCTTCACAATTTCGCGGCCTTTGCGACCCAAAACACTGAAGAATTTCCAGCGTTTCTTCAGTTTGTTTAATGGCTCTAGACTGCGGTTGAAGTTGGTTATCCACCAAATTCAGCAGTTCTGCCGACTGAATCTGTCTCTCACCTCTCCGGAAGTCAGCATTCTCGGGAATTCTGCCAAGACTCTTTATAGTGTCTGTGAATATTTATGAATGTATGAATAAATTGCTGATTTATTAGCTTAAAAACATTTTTTCTTACACGAATCTTCAAGCTCTGTCACTCTTTGTGTCGCTGCCTGGACAATTTGCCAGACGAATTTGCTGAAGCTCGCTCAGGCTGGGCAGAGGGAATTTGTACGCGTGCTGCAGATACTCATAAGCCTGCGGACCGAAATCGGCTAACTTGTTCGCCCTGAAGAAGTCTCTTTTTGTCCACTCGCGCGTCACGCCACGAATCCTGTCCATCTGGCTGGCAGTGAAGAAGTGGCTGAAGTTCCGCGGCACTTTGTTGATCTGCGAGCGCATTCGGCGCAAAGAACTGCTCAGCTTTCCGTTCTCCTCCAACAGTTTCTTCAGCTTGGACTCCATCTTCTGGTTATTCTTCAGTATCGCCCTGTATTCCGCTTCATGTTCACAAGTCTCAGGCATTTCAGGATCATTTGCCTGCGCATTCTCTCGCTCCTGAGCTTCCACGGATTGTCTATCGAATGGCACGAGGGTAGGAATGTCTTGGAGAAGGTACAAATCATCGGGAAGCATCTCTAACAGCACTTCCTCGCCCTGGTCGTTCTCTGCGAGGATCATTGTTGGTATCTCAGCCTCTTGGTTCATATCGTCTGACAGAATACAATTCTCATCTTCATCCACGAGGCAGAATTCTTCTTGCAAATCCGCCTCCTCAATTGGCCGCATTTGGTATTCCACCTCACCGGGATTCACTCCCGGAACCTCCTGAACCACGAAATACTGCTCAGACGCCACCTGATCCTCACGCATTGCCGGAATGGTGGGAAAAGCTGAAAGAGAACACATCAAGAGAGTTAAGAAAAGACCTGGAAATTTCCTCTAACGCTCTTCTATCACCGCTCTTCTTGAGGATAGGCTCTCCTTCTGGATTCCTGCCCCTGAAGCAATTCTCCCTGAAGTGGGCAGAACAGATCTTCACCCCCTGCTCACAGGGCATGAACGAAGATGCCTTTTCCAGCACTTCCTTGTCGATGTTCTTCGAGCAGAACTCCGTCCAGGCTCGCTGTTGGACATTCTGATCGCCCCTGGACACGGGGTAGAAGCCAAGAGAGGGCATTGAACTTGTGTTTTCACATCCCCTCACGCAGCATTGCATTTTGAGACACAAATTATAAATATTTGCACGGTTTTTGAGAAAAAGCGCACCTTTTTCCGACTACTTTGACACTTCCGAATGCCAAACCCAATAGAAGAAAAGACGCAGAAATATTCTTTAGACTGAACGATGTGTCAGATGATGTTCTGAACGATTTTTACCACAGTTTCATAACGTGAACTTAATTCATGTGCAAAATCTATAAATTTTCAAGTAATTTACCTCTTTTTCATTTTTACACTAATTGCATAAAACAAATCTCAGCAACATTGTTCTTATTATGAGTTATAAATCAATACAATGAAATAAACGCCCCTTGGTTTTCTATTTGGTGAATTGCATTTATTGGGTCAATTTCAAACCATAACGATTTTCATATCTTAACCAGATTTTTTAAAACATTAGAATATCACAAATCTAATTTCCTTTTAAATCCATGTTGACATTTATTATATTATTAAAATAGATCTTCATAGTCCTGAGCAAATTTCCTTATCTTTTCCGCACTAGCGGGAAACTTCTCTTCCCATCTTTGGAGCGAATCCAAGGATGGCAGAGGATACTTCAATTCATTGTACAGGAATGTGTACAGAGGCTCGCTCAAGTGCCTCAGAATGAGGGCATTTTTGATCTCAGGAAGTCTCCATATAATGTCTTCTGACGTCTTGAAGATTATGTTCTTCTGCGTCTCGCTCAGCACATTGTCGACATTGTCCAGGAGGAGAAGGATATTTTGATAGTTCTTCCTCAGTTTCTTTTCCTTCTTCAGCAACATTGCATATTGATTCTTCTGCGTCTGCAATTGCTTCTTAAGATCGCTTTTCTTCTGCAGCACCGCCTCGACCTTGGAAATGAATTGGCAGCTGATGGGATTGCATTTGCCGGACGAATGTTCACCTTCTGACTCGTCATCCACGTCAATTATGTCGATTTTTGGTGGCAGGAAGATCACATCGTCATCCTCGGAAATTTCAGATGGGTCAGGAAGTTTCTCTGGACTGTTCTCGCGGACATTCGGCCTCTTAACTGCCCGTTCTCCCTCCACAGGCTCTTCATCAGCTCTCTTGCGCTTTACTGTAGTAGTGTTTTCCACCTGGATGAGCTTGTCAAGATCCACAGAAGATTTCTCGACGGGCTTCTTGGAAATCTGTTCAAGCAGAGCGCTTTTCAAGTTAGTCCTCGCCAATTTCATTTCCTTCAGTACGACTCTGCCGGCTTTTCCCTCAGTCTTCCCGGTGTCTTCCCGGAGAAGAGTCTGGACACTGACAATCTGGATATCGCTGTCGGCGTTTTGCCTTATCAACGGATCAGGACAAGTGTGATGAGTTAATTTCTGTTCTTCCTCTTTGTGATTTGCCTCAGTATTCTTAACAGTAAATCCTTGCAGTATGATTTGAGGCTCTTCCTGAGAAACTGATGGATTGGGATCATTGCACTGTGAAGTGGTCTTCTCGGCTTCCTTCGGTGGCTCAACCTTGGCCATTCTCACGTTCAGCTTGGGAACAACTGGATCAAGACACCCATTACTCATCCGGAATCTCTCACTAACATAACCTCATCTTACCATTTTGCTTTAGCGGCCTCAACCCATTGAACTGCCCAAGCGGGTCTTGGGCTGCAAAGTCACTCTCCACAAAGTGATCAGAACATGCGGTGAGACGGGGCCCGTGGCAAACCTTCAGCCAGGCACACCTTAGCTCCTGCGGAGCATTGTGTGGCAACATGTAAAGTGAAACGTTTCGTGGCAAATGAAGTTTATGGCGCCAACGACAGCCTTTCACACTGCACGAAATGGGCATTTTGGTGATTTTCCAGACTGAAAATCTCTCTCAAAACAAACCTTTTATGGCACACTTGCCATGTTAATGATTCCGGAAAAAGTGACATTCTTTGGCGTGTGTTTGAAAATTTGAATGCATTGCAAGCGTTAACGGATTGTGTGAATTGCTCGATTTTTACAACAGAAATAATTTTGATGAAAGAAAAACAGTAATGGAGACTTAATGGTCTTTATTTCTGCAGAAATTTATGGGCCTCTAAAGAATTTACTTGCAATTACTGAAAGAAAAGAAATGAACTGGGAAGATTTATAACAGTTTGCTATAAAATTCGGAATTGTATTTTGGCGGGGAAAAATTCAAATTTATATAGTTGATCATCTCAACTGACCACGACGTGATTTAAAATTAGCTTGGAAAAGCATTCATTAAGCAGTTATTTTAGGGATCTTCGAATTTTGGAATTTATTTATAAAATTCAAGGTTTTCCATGCTCAAAACCGTGGAAAGAATTGAGAGATGTATAAATGAAAGAGCATTCGTTATTCTGACTGAGGCATTTATTTTACATATATAATATTCATTATTTATTATTTATATGTATATTGTGTATACATATATAATATAGTTTTTAATATTTTTGTTTTTGAGTTTAATTAATAATAACACATGTACAATTTTTTAAATTGATTTCATCACACAAAAGATTTCTGTTTTTTTCCTTTCATATATTTTTTACGTTTTCTTATCATCTTCAGTTTATATGACCATTAACTTCATTCCTTCACGGTTGTTTTTTTTATAGTGATTAATTTTCACTTCCGCTTTGCTTTTTTGGTGGATTTTTTTTGTAAGTTTTTCTTTAGATCAACATTTATTAGTATAACATATAGAAAAAATTTTCATTTCTTTCCTTTTCTGCTTCAATAAAATGTTTTTTTTTATTCATTACATGTATATAGAAGTGTATTTTATTATAATATATAAGGTAGTATATAAACAAAAATATATCAAATCTCCTTTTTCATTAAATTACATTATGGTAATCAATACATATGTAGGATAGTATTACTTTTAAATATATGTTTTTTTTATAATTTTGTGTTTTGTTGTTTTTTTACATCTTTTATTCTTATCTCTTTTTTTCATAGATGGAAATATTTTCACTGAGACATTACGAGAAAACTAATTCCTTGTTCACTATTTTTCTGCTGACAGTTTTTAGACCATTATTGCGATGAAAACTTAAGAGTACCAGACACTGTTTTTTTTTTAGTACTTAAACTCTAGCCTCTAGGATTGTTCATCAGTACTGTCACTTTTTATGCATTTTATGAGTAGATATCTTTTTCACATCCTCTCAATTTACTCTTCAACTCTTCTTGCACTTTATTTTGTCAATTCCCCTTCCTTGAACTTGTTGGTACTTGTATTTAGTACATGCTTTAGTGGCGCATGTGCTCTGAGTATATAGAATAAAGAAATATGACGTAAGATGGCGTTGCGATTAATCAACGGAAAATCTTGATTTCTCTGGATATTCTCTCTTTTGGATTTCGTCTTCTCAATTTTTCCTGTGTAGTTTATTTTATGGTGCTAAATTTGATTCACATTCTTAACTAGCCTAAAGTGTGTTCATCTAAATTTTCCTTCACTTCTTTTCACTACATTAAAATAAGGAGAGGTGTATTTGGTGCTTTGTGCATCACAACACTTATGTGCAAATCTAGCAATAATTATATACATCAATATCCTTACTTAAGTAACCTTAAGAATCGTTTATTACTTTCAATATAAATTGACCATTGAACCACCCCGCGGGAGGTTGCTTCTATCGCCTGTTGTTCTGCATTGTTCATGGCGTGATCACTTTTTAGTACATTTTAGTATAAAGCAGCAATCATAATCTCTCCCTCGGTAAAAGCCATTCATTCCATTCTACTTTCTCTTTTTCTTTATATTATTGAACCTCAGTTTCGCGCTCTTACTAAAACTCACTTTTCATATATATAATTCTTGGGTCAGATGAAACATACAGAGAGAATATTCTCAATGACTCTTTGGCAAGTAATAAGTGCTTAAGCAAATTATTCATGGGATTTTGTAGGGTGACTCTTTTCTCTCTCAAATTTATATGCGACTAAGGGACGGGAGAAGTATTGCTTTCGAGATCACTGAAATTGATTTTGACAGATGCGCGATTAGAAAGAGGACTTCAGTGGAGATAAAATCAGCAATTCTTCATCACTGAGGTTCAAAGGTACTTGTGACTACTATGTAATGTGTATAAATATATATGTATGCATATTACTTCATTCATAAATTATATATAACTGTTATTATTAACCATGCTGTCTCGCAATTTTATCATTTCAACTCTAGTCTCGTTCAATATTAGTTTTCCTCCAATTCGCATCAAACCTGGAGACGTTTGTCAATCTTCTGACATGTGTTACTTTGACATGTGTTAAAAATGTCTCCAAATTTGATTGTCCTATCCAATCTCACATTTAACACGAACGATGATTTTTTTTCTGTTTAATTAACAATCATTCAATGTGAAATAGACGCCCATTGAATAATTACTTTTTTTCCATACCTTTCACTTAAAAAATACAACGAAAAACTAAAATATATCACATTTGGTGTGCAGTGCATTTATATACTTTTTTCTCCTAATAAATTGTTTCCACTCATTTTTTCTTGCCATCTCTGACTGTGACGTTTGGTTTTGGAGGACCTCTTGGGATGTCTCCTAATGTCTAAATCTACTAAGAGCTCTGCCATCCTTTATCGTGAATACTAGTCTGAAACATTCTGGTTTTTTTTTAAGGATTGTAGACAGCTAGACGTAGTTTTACGGGTGTTTTTTTTTAAGTATTCTCTCTTCATTATGTGCTTTACATTATGTAAATGACAATTATTGTGCCTTTATTATCTCATAGGGTTGAACAACTGGTAGTGCATAACATTCACATTAACATCCATATTTTCAGTTGATTATTATTATTCTTTTATTATTCTCTTTTGCGATAAATTGAAGGATAATTGAGGAAATTTCAAACAACTCATCAGCCTGAAAATATTGCTCTTACATTGAATTCATGATATTAAGAGGATTTTTTTTACTATTTTCATTATTATTAAATAATAAAAAAAAGGCAGAAACAGAAGGAAAAAATAATACTTAAGAGGATTCATTGTCATTATACAGTGCTTTTTATCACCTACTTTTTAAAATGTGCATTCACTTGTGTGCAATATTTTGTGCATTTTCGTGCATAATATCTTATAACTTCTGTCTTTACGTGTAAAATGTCTTGAGGAATCGCTTCACATGGAAATTCTTTGCATCAACATTTTTTTTTAGTGTCATTCTCAGTTAATACAATTATCTTGTTTACTTGTGACTTTTTCCTGGTGGAAAATCACTCCTTGGTTTCTCACAGTGTATGAAAAATGTCTGGTGATACACGAAAACTTTTTCGCCCAATAAATATTCTTGTGGTGGACAAAGACGCATGGTTTGGAAACACGAAAGAATTGATAAAGCAAACAGAAAAAAAAATTGCAATTCTCTCAAGTTTCTCTGCGGCCTAAAGGCAAATCTCCCTGGGAACGAAGGAAAGTTTCACCAATTTAACTATACACATGTTTGAAACTGAACCCACGAGATGATCCATTTAACTTTCATGGGATGTCTTTAGGCCGACTAAAAGGATTCGCTTAATTATTCAGCGAAGCCCAATCAATTTTGCATTAGGCCAGTGATAAGTCCGTGGGATATTTTGGGTCAACGTGTGAGTTATTCTTAGTTGACGCCCTCACGATGCTCAATATTTTATTACGACTCGCGAAATCTTCCAGGAGGTCATCAAAGGACCACCGTTGAATTTAAACGCAAAACACATCAATTATTCACAGTGATTTCTCCGGTAAGGTGTTCTCAACGAGTGTTTTATGGTCTTTTGCACCTTTATGGCTCCTCTCCATGGGATTTCCATTGAATTGCAAACTCCGGATGAAGTGGGATTTATGGGAAACAGTGGAGATGAAAAGAAGTGTTTCACTGCAGAAACAAGTAATGTTTGCAAGGTGTATTTTTGAAATGATTACTCGAGAAAAATGCTTGTATTTTTATAGGATTTAAGCAGAAATTATTTCTGTAGCGAGATTCATTCTGTATTAATATAATTAAAATTCCAAAGAAATCTTATTATTATTTATATTCTCAACGTCATTTGATAATAAGTGTAAATATAAGATAGACTAAATTTTTGTGCTGTATGAGAAACGGAAAATGTATTGGAGTTCCTGTTTCCTGGAACTTGTTCATATTTTCCATTCGTCAGTCTGAATCCTATGCAATCTCTCGTCTGCATTTGATAATAGCAAGTGCTTGCGAGAGTGTGCCTTGAGGTGCAAGAAACACCCACACTTCACTGGGGATTATCTTTATGGGGACTCATTTGCCGTCACGCTGGAGGACATTACATGAGAATTTCATTTTTAGGATGGCTCTCAGTCCTCCGCCATGGGAGATAAAACGGTGTGTAGCTCAAAATATATCTGACTGTTGCGATGCTGAGAACTCGTGCTGGCAATTAAATCAATTTCTCTCACGTCTTTCTTACTCCCTTTGTGTTCTTTCTTAGGAATTGCCATGAATATTGTTTTCTCTCTGCGCTCTGTCAACCAGCAGAGTCCGCCCGTGGGCCACAGGATGCCCAGGAGGAGTTGTCAATTAAAATATTTCCCTTAATCCTAATAATATAATCTTCTAAATAATCTCCTCACACGCTCTTCACGAATAACATATTGAAAAAGCCATTTGAATTTGGCGTGTGCGGCTTCCTTACGTGCGATAAATTTCCATTAAATAGTCTCCCTTTTGTGTATTTATTTATGTGTACGAGTATATGAAGTGACGAAGAAAGTGCCGCGCGTTGGTGGAATTGAGCATGAGCTCAGTTTTGTAAATAAATGCCCACATTGTCTTGCGGTGGACTTTCTGGTGTCCCCCGCAGACTTTCCTTATGCATCAGGATATGCAATACCATAAAAATCATTTGTGACACAGTATCGTTGGCTCCAGATATTTTTGACGACAATTTTCATATCCAAAAGAATATAATAAAATTATGAACAATTCTTCTACCATCAGTTTGCGTCTCTCTTTTGATTCATGTTCAATTTTATTATATCGCGTATTTGTGAACCAAATTGGCGGGGTTTTTTTCTTTGTGTATGTTAAAGAGTAAAAATCGTCAAAAATACCATTCGATACCATTTCACTGGAGATTCTTCACGCTCTCAATTTAAACATTAGCTTTTCTACAACACTGAGCTCAGCCTCCGCTCAATTTCACCTCGTCAATCAATAAATTTCTAAAGGTGCAGCAACGATAATAATAATCTTCACTTTAATGGCAATCAAGTCCACCTTGATTAATAATGCCAAGTAAATACACATTACAACTACTTTTACACCTACGTACTTTATGTCTATGACATCGAGAGTAGAAATTTAAGTACTCCCCCAGGACATTCCACAGCCCGATGATTTCTTGCCCTTTGACACGACACACAGAAGCATGGTCAAGGAAATTCCCCAAGAAATTCTTCAGATGTGTTCATGAGAACTGAATTTTTCCCCAGAGACAGATAACAGTAGTCAGCAAAAGTGTCTATTAAGTTGTGAAATAGATAAATTGAACAGTTCAGGCTGTTTAGGCACTTGAAGCAAAAGAATTCATTTCACTAAATTCACATAAAACCCAAAGTCTTACGAATATTTAATTCCAAATGAATTGATGAAAACTTCTTGATTTTATTATGAAATAAATTATATCAGAACGTCATTAGATTTTCTGCTTTTGACTCGACTTTCTATGCATTCCACTGTTGATCTGACCGAGTGCTGTGCACACCTTTAATTGACGCGCAATTGTGGTGATATTTCCCTTCAGTAATTCCAGTGTATTGGCACGAAGCACGAGCATAATTGTCAATAGTAGAGCGTCTTATAATATGGTTTTATGTGTCTGAAAGCGGAAGTTTGTAAACATCCTCTCCCAGTGTTCAATATTGATATAAATGAGGACAGATAATGTGACCATAGAGGTCAAAGTGTTTTAACCTTTTTGCGTCACGTGCAAATGCGTGCCAATGATCCAACCTGTGGCAATAAATATCTATTTTGAAAAGGTGAGATGATGGCCTTTCTCGCAAATTGTGCTTATCGCAATTGATACATTCCCTCCACGATTATTGGTGACATTTTATGCGATGGATCCAGAATTGTAATACCCATTGCAGATGTCATGCAAAGAGTAGCACAATTTTAATCATTCTGATGCCTCTTTCAATGTTTAATGCTCAGAATCTTCACGCGTGTTCTATTTTTTCATGCTTCTTTCCGCTCAATCAACTGAAATATGTGCTTTTTTTGCTACTGTTTTGCCTTCTGGGGCTCATATTTATGGCATTTTGCCGGATGATTGATACGTACTTTCAACAGCAGAATATATTCATCGCTTATAGTCAGTTCTTTTGACCTTTTATGCCAGAATGCGCTTAAATTATTCACTACTAACGCCAAATTCGAAATAGATTAAATGGAAAATTGGATTTTCCTCTCCTTTCGCACGGAATTGCAAAAATGTGAACACACATATAAAAAAAATGGCTTTCAACGATTCTATGTTGAAAACTGACATAATAACAATGGAAAATTTCCCCTTAATATTTGCATATTTCCTATTATCTTTTGTAATTAAACTTATTGTGGAATATATTATGGTTGGTTGATTGGAAAATTTTGCTCAAAACAATTTCACCCCGAAGAAATTGTATTGAGAGAAAGTGTAGCAAAATCCACCCACAGTAAAGTGTGAAATTTTCACTCTGCTGTTTCCTCCTTCGCTGTCTTATCAACTTCTTACTGAATTGATCAACTTGTGTGATGTCTGACCATTTCGTCGCCCGCCTGCCAACCCTTACACAGCCCATTTTATTTAATTCAACACGCTCAGGGGGTGGCCCGAGTGCAATTGACCTTTCGCCCCTCATTCCTGCCGGAATTTATCTATGGCGAAGTGTTGATCAATGAAATCATGTCTGAAGACAGTTTTGAAAATCATATTCAACGAATTTCTTCTGTTTGCCTTAGAAATTTACCATTTTATATTTGATTAAATTTCCGACGGAATCTTATCACAACACAAGCTATTCTGATGGCTTTTTGGGGAGAAATTCAGCACGATTTGTTGGCGAATCTTCACGAAATTACGTCAAGAAGACCAAAATTTTTGGTCCTATTCAAACTTACAAAATCCACATTTTATAAGATATTAATTAAAATCTGGAGATTTTTTATTTCACAAAGAGGATTAAGAAGACATTTTTTTTCCAATAAAAATAACTCCAGTCAAAACTTGTTCTGATAAGGATTTCATGATGAAGAGATTTCTGGAAATACAAAAGCTCAATTTGTGTGCATTGAAATGTGCTCAAAGGAGCAAAAATTCTTTGTTTCTTGAAATATTTTCTGGTTTTCAAGTGACTACTTTAGTGCTGAATTTGATATCTTATTTATTTAAATATGAATTTTGTGATTATTTGTAGCACAGACGTTTCACCCCTTTTGATGGTGAATTTGACCAAACATCGTGAATCAAAAGGGCTGAAAATAAATCAAATGTCTGTCATTTATTGATCTATCGTCTCGTGGCTTTTCGCGTAATTAATCCCATGGGAATGTACAGAGACCACATTTAACGATAAGGGATTATCGTGAGAATCATCTTGTGACTCACATCATCCAGTGTTTGCTCACGCCCACTCCAGTGCAATCACTGGACACAGATAGAGATTGATGATTAACGTCAATCTCGGTGTTGCGACTGATGAATTCGTGTGGTGTGATTCAGTCACTTTCTGATGGCAATAAAATTTATATATTTGCCAATTTTGTCTCCAATTTTATGCGTCAACCAGAGAGATAAAAGGGCGGGGTGTCGAGGGTTAAGGGCATATGTTGGCGACGAGTGTAGTAAAATCGCATGCAAGCGTGGGTCAATTGAGGATATTTGGCCAACACTGTGCAAATTATGCAACAAGCCAATGAGAGTTGACGCCATAAATAGACACAATTGTACTGTATGAAGTTTCTAAATGTATTATTTCTGACCCGCAACCGGATGTGATGCACCTAATTTGCCTACATCTTTGCGAAAGATGTTGAAATTTGCCGAATTCCCGGTGTTTGAGGTAAGAAAACGGTAGTCAATAAATATCTCAGTATGTGTGAATTCAATGTGATTCACATAAAATCAGACGAACATAATATAAGTTTACGAGTTTAGGAGTTGTGAGAGAATGACATTTCTGAGGAAATATCGTGAATTTTTAAACCAAAGAAAATAAAACTCCACCAGAATGATACCACGGAAAAAATATATGTGGAAAGTTTGAGAGATAAAAATGTTGATGCAATGTGAATTGATTGTAGTAATTGACATTTTTGATTTTCTTCATTAGTGTGAATTCTGTGCATATCAGAGAAAATTGAGAATTTTTACCAATCACGTGTATCAAACACATCGTCAGATGAAATGGCTTAGTTGTCTAACGACAGCTGAGTTTATTATGCAAGAGGATAAGGCCGGGGAACTTTCTCGATTTTCACTCACATTTGTGATTCATTGTTAGTTTCATCATTCTTTGCTTCTTATTAATTGAACAAAATGTCTGACAAAGTCATTAAATTGCTGAAAATAAGACCATAACTTCTCCTTTTTTCCCTATTATTTCCAACAACAATTGATTTGTCTCTCTGTTTGTTGTAGAATTTCAATTAATTTAAGAACGTAAAAATTATTTCAAAAATTTGCCTTTCTCAACGAAATGTTAGCATAGTGAAATTGTGAAGCAAACAAAATACATATTTTTTGTTTACATTTAGTTTGATAACACATTTAATTGATTCTTTTTTTTTGTCAATAGTATTTCCTTAAGGCCTGTGAGAATTTTCTTTTCTTTTATTTCTTATTTAGATAAGCCATATTGTTTCACCATCATTTTGTATATAAAAATTTATTACAAGTATATAGAAAAATAGGCCAAAAAAATATATCATCTATTCTATGAGAAATTGTTCGCAAGCATTTGTACCTTGTTATTCTTTCTTCCATCAATCTTCTGTTCTTTAAGGTAACAAGAAAATATTTTAGGCCGATTTGTATTACAACAATGACAGACATTATATAGTTTTTTTTTCAAGTGCTTCTCTTTCACATTCAGTTTCATTTTATTATTTTTGTTTTTAGCTTTGACACTGTATTTTCATTTACTTCACAAATTTCACATGCAGAAATAAAATGCATTTCAAATTTGTGTTAAATCATGATAAGTGTTTCACATGGAGACAAATTGTTATACTATTTGCCATTGGGAGTGCTTTATGTTCAAAATAAGGTGGAAAAATGCTTAAAAATCGTTATAAAAATAGATATTTACATTTGATGTTCAGTTTCTTTCAAAATGTGACATTACTTTTCTTATTGTCATTGACAATTTGTTTTTTTTTTAATAAGTTTCTCATCCTTTTCGGTAAACATCAACAGAAGTTCAACGTCAAATGATCTGTCAAATGCAATAAAAATGGTCATTTAAATTCTGGTATTGGTTTTACAGTTAATATTCCGTATACTGTGTTGACTTTATGTGGGATTAATAAAATTATATAGAGGTATTCCCCTTCCAAACACGATCAGTAACCTTGCTTTTTTTCAGGGTTTATGCAGACTTTTGTATAAGATCATTTTGCCAAACAATATGTCAATGCTTAATTTTTACTCTTCTTCGCCTTCACTTCTTCCCAAGCAAGAAAAAGGCTCCGCAAGATAGATGATTATACATTCAAGTAAATTGGATTACTTTAGAGTTTTGCAATTTTACTTTAAAGATCATTTTTTTTTGTAAATTACTTTGTATAGAAGATTTCAATACCACAACCAATTGTCAAGTCTGCTTTATCAAATATCGAAAAGTCAGTTTTAGGAGAGTTTTAATCATCTGGCTTAGAAAATGAACAATAAAAAATAGGGAATGAAAAATGTGAAATAGAAGAAGAAAGGATAAGTTTCTTATAACTCAATCTGAAGATAATTTTTCTTCTTACATCCTCAATTGAAAATACTTGAAATGCATTAATAGTTCTTTTCAATATGATTTTCTCTCTCATTTTCCTTTTTTTTTGAAATTCTTATCTTCCTCTGTAATTTTATCATTATAATTAATTTTTTTAAAGGTCTTTTCACTTCATCATTATAATAATCGCAAAATTTGTTAAATAGATAAGTTCATAATATCATTATAAATAGTAAAGTAATAATAATTTAATAAATTTTCTTCATACTTATCTACAGATAGCTGCCTTATCCATGAGAATAGGTTTCCATTAGTGGGTACAATGTTATACATAACGTACTGACTTTAATAAGTAATAAGGGAGGTGATTTTTCTATTATTTTCCATTCTTCAGGAAGTCTCACAATGTTTTTACTTTTACTTTGATGTGTGGAATACATGGACAGTGTATGTGGAAATCATAAAGGGAAAAAGTGTTCTTTGTGAAGAGAGGAAAAACATTTTCAAGCAAGGGGAGTGTGGCTTTGCCTGTCACATAGTTTACCAGAACTTGTGATGGTGTGTTGAAGTTTCTTTTATTTTGGTTCAATTCTCCTGATGAGATTATATCATTCCTAAAATGAACTTTTGCTAAGATTGACTTTTGGTAAGAGAGATTCTTGTGTGCATAATTTCACGTTTTTTTTTCTCATCATCTTTATTTTTTGTAAGAGTGTCAAATTCAGTGTTTTTTTTTCTTTCTTTCTTTTGATTTGATAAGAGTGTCAAACTGAAAATGTATAATGTGTGGTGTAAATTGTGAATGATTTATTGATATTTGGGTTTCTTCTTTTGGTTGGAATTGTACATATATGTATCTTTTTCTCATCTAAATACACCCATCTACGGTTTTTTAGTGTATTTACTCTTAATGTGGTTGCATTTTCTTTATGATTTACGTTAACATCAGTAGTTTCAGTTCCGTCTTAGCGCCCTCGGGCCCATCGCAGCAAGGCGTCCGCTAACACATCCAGGTGAGCTTTCGTCTGCAATGGTGAATGCAAATATTACACTGAGGACTCAAGTACAATTCATAAGGATTATTATGAAAATAAGATAATTTGTTCTTCTCTTTGTGTAGTAACAAAGACAACATTTTCCCAATTATCGTGCTACTAATTTCACATTCCCAAAAACTACTTGTAACCGATTCACGACTTTCATTGTGGCTTTTAATTTTAATCAATCTCTAATGGGCTTTAGAATTTTAATCAACTTCTTACTTGTGACGTTCTTCCGGTCGATTAAAAATAAAACAGTGCCGAGATGTAAATGCAATGAAGCGAAGGTATTTCGTACAGCTTTCCAATTATATTGGAAAGAGATGCAAATTTATGTGCTGCAAAAATGCAACCATCATAATTAAAATCCCTTTTACACTCTCTACTGGTCACCGCCCAGCTTGTAAATTTTAATTTAACCACTATTCACATGCTGTGAATAAATCTAATAAATAATAAGCTCTCAGTTAAGCATTTCGCACAGTTATAGAGTTGAGAAATTCTCTTCCTTGAGCCTCTGACTTCAGGTCACAAGTCACTCCAAAGTCAGTCTTTGGGCTTTCAATGTTAGCGCAAAGTGACCCTTCTGAACTATATCGCACAACTGGAAATGAGTAAGATCTTTTCACCATCCGAGACGTTTTTATTTTCATCTTCTGAGGTCAAAAGGAAGATAAATAACACATTTTAATTAGTGAAAGTGTCAAGAAAAGTGAAAACAGCAGAGTCGCAATTAGGATTCCTTGTGATATTGGACGCGGACGCCTTTCCTTTGCAAGTCCACCTACGCACTTTTCCGCCTTATGAATTTGCGAGGTTGGGAAGAGAAAAATAGCCTGTGAACATGGGAAATGCTAAACGCAGAGAGGCTATATTTTATAGAAAGGAATAATATTATATGTAATACAATATTAAACGAAAGGCTTCTCCTTAGCAAATTAAGGTTTTGGAGTAAATGAGGAGAAATTGGATATAATAAGATATAAACGTATCTCATCGTCTGCTCAATCTCTCACTCTTTCTCTCCATATATATATATATATATATTATTATATATATATATAATATATATATATATATATATATATATATAAATTGGTTACACGGAGAAGAATTATGAGGTGACTCATGTTCTCAGCACTTTGTGCCAAGGTACAATGCTTTATAAAGTGAACAGAGGATATTTGATGTAATCCGTATTAAAAGAACACGATTCCCGAGGTGAAAAGATTGTAATAGAGGCGACAGCACCCAACACAACACTGCAATTAACCCTTTGAAGGGCGGGGTATCTGAGTGGGCGTGGCCTTAATTATTTTTCGCTCTGCCTTGGCTGGTGACTTACCGTTTTGTAGAACATACAGGCTTGTCGGTCTTCATCTTCGCCATCGGGACAGTCGATGAAACCATCACATAAGACATGATCATCTATACACCGATACCGGCCTTGCCGATCCGGCGTCGGACACGCGAACCTCTCCATGCCATCCATCGCTGGCGGACATTCTGGAAAAGCGAGAAAGGGAAGAGTCAATGAAATGTTCTCCTTGTTACACTGCACCACTGCTCTGTGGTATTTGGAACATAAATTAGAAAGTTTGCAAGTCAAAATGGGATGAGAAATCAATAATTAACGGAGCGAAATTTCCAATCAAAGATATGGAGAAGGTCGTTGCTATCAACAGTTCTAATGCTTTTCCATTACCTCCTCACCCGAGAAAATTCCCAATTTCCCGCAACTCTCCTGTTTGTGTGTGTGAGTGTGTATCTACCGAAGAGATTTGATTAATCTCTCAGCGGAACGTTGAGGAAAGAAATATAATTGAATTTATAATTGCAGGTACAATGAATAAAACACTTTTCAGTCCTTCAGCAAGTAATTAACGTTTCGTTCGGTTTTGAATCGCAATGAAAGGTCCGTCACTGGAATTTTCATCTCAATCAATGGCCTGCTAAAGTACTCTGATATATAATTCATGGAGTTTACCATGTACATATGTACATATACGTGTTTGTGTGTTTGCTAAATAAATTTGAAATTGGGATTTGTTAACTCGACATTTCAATGTTTAGTGCTGACGTCAAAGATGTCTTTAGCTAAAATCAACAGCTATTCAATGTGTTTCATAATACCCGGGAATTTAATAGCTTAGAAACTTGCATCTCAGCAGAGATGTGTTGAGAACTACACTTTGCAGGCTTTAAGGATTTCCATTTCGTCTTGACCTTTACACAGCTCGGAATGAATTTGTAATACACTTAAGAGGATTATTAAATTTTCCATGGAAACATTTCCTGGGAAATTTTATAAGCACTTCTATTGCCGTAAGCTCCAAATTTCCATTCAAAAATCACAGGTATTTATACGGAAAACGGCAACATAAATGACACAAGCAACGATCATCACTGCTGATGACGGATTCGGGAATGGAGTGATGAGGAAAATGATTGTCAATCATTTTGCGTACCTTTGCACCTGATGTTATCAAATAGCTTACGGAAAATGTGCAAAAAGAGCTGAAAGAGAACGACGAGAGCACTCTTCTCAGCTGTATTAAAATGTAAATTTTGCTGGTGAATTGGATTCAAGGGTGAAATGAGGTGAAAATTGAATATACATGCTTGTCATACGTCGAGAAATTAAAAGATCCGCCAAAAGTGACAAAATGTCGGCGAAGTGGAGCAATCAGAAGTCTTGAGATTTTCTCCCAGCCCTTGTCCAAAGGAAAATTCAGTTACTTGAGCTTTTAAAATGTTTTTCTAAGAAGCACAAATTCCATTGGGAATTTCTTTGGCGTTTCATTGAATACTCGCAGAAAGTCAGGCTTTCAGGGCGAAATGGCAAAAATATCTTCAGGATGGCATGAACTGAAATTTAATCAGGAATAGGCCAAAAAAACCCAGCTCAGGATCAACCTTGAATTCATGTGAGCTTCAACAATGGCAACAGGTGAGAAGATGTTGGCCTTTCATGAGGCGATCCTCGAAATTCCGATGCCACTCTTTGCCCATTAATGCACGCGCAATTCGGCCGAAGCTCCATTGAATTTTTCATTGAGGAATTTCCACTGTAGGTCGGAAAGTCTGCGGGCAACAATTGTATCATGACATAAAGTTTGTGGCTCTTGCGTGCAGATAAGTTTCTTTCCCAGTCCACCCAATTCTACCTCCAAACCATCACGTTGAGTTTATGCTTACGGACAAAAGCATAAACTAAACAATTTTTGTTGTGTGTGTGTGTGTGTGTGATGATTTTATCCGCCATAAAGATATTTTCCATTTCAACACGCAAAACATTAAAAAATGTAATTAATAATAATTGGATTGTTGGACGTGAAAAGCAACGTGCTTGAGGGCGAAATCGATTTTTTCCCCAATGAACCGCATGAAGTAATTGGGAGACATTGTTGTTGAGGTGTTCTTAGACAGCAAATTTCGGGCTATTTTTAAACATTGGGACACGAAGAAATTTTCTTTTTAACAATCACAACCAATACGTCTGCTGTGATGATTTCTGTAATCGAGAATGTATTAAAATATTTGACATTATGTTAAAGTAATTGATAAATTAGCTGGATAGTTAGGCCCTGCCCACATGAAAGTCCCGCCCATTCGATTTTATATTTCCCTGATATTTAGTAATTATGAATAATTTTGCTTTTAAAATAATGTTTGGTTACAGATAATTTCTAATCAGTTGAAAGATTATTTTGTAAAAAATCAGTTTCGAGCATTTGTTGAATTATAATTATATTCCTAATAATAATTTTCTGACAGTTTTCTCTATAAAATATACTTTCATAGGTTATATAATTTTTCCAAAACTTTCCTCCTCACTCAAAGCACTTCCTCTGAACTATTCTTAACAATTCCTCACTGAGGACTGTTAAAAAACTTTGAACAAATAATCATCATAAAATTCTAAATCCTCGAAAGTTTACCCATTGTCGTAATTGTTCTTGACACACAATACTTTTTCCGTTGAACAACACCTACACGGAGACTCTTATGTGCAATGCAAAATGCAAAAATTCACATTCGTAATATTGGCGAACGTGTTTAAACAAGAGACTTGTAGACAGAGTATTTGCTGAAGAAACATCTTGACGATGTGTAAATTGTGCCAGTCGTGATGTTATTACGATGGAAAATCCGCCACATAGGCATTTATCTGTGCCTAGATGTTGACAACTCAGCAGACATCCTCAGCCACTAACGATGCATTTACGGGGCCCAAGGGCTCAATTCCACCCACTCTAGTGTCTTTATTCGCCACGGAAATTCTTTCCACAGGCTCCTTGAGAGAATCTCTAGGGAAATTGTGACTAATTGCTGTGTTAGATGAAAAGCGCAAAGCAAAAAGTGCACTTTCATGCTTTCAGTGTGGCAATCATATCTCAATTTTACTAAGCAAAATCTCCACAACTTGAAGGAATCCAATACCACAAATTGTCTGCGGAGGAAAGCAAACAATCCAAAGGGTGAAGAGTCCTTTGCAGTGTATCATAGTTATGGATCATATTTTATTTGCAAAATGTTTAAAGTATCTCACTTTCCGCCCAAGAATTGTGGCCATGATTTAAGTTTAGCCATCACAATTGTTTGCATTTGCGTTATGAACTTCGCTGGTTGAGGAAAATGGGGGCAAAATGAGAAGATAAACAGAAGGGAAAGAGATACAACACACTTTCCAATTGTGAGGCGAATTGTGTAATCTCTCTAATGGACAATCATGAAATAGAGAACTGGAAGAGAGCATCTGGCCAAGTATTGATTGCACCCATTCGAGGGTTATAAGATAATGCCAAGTCAATCAGTCTTGTGCGCTAATTCCGCCAATAATTAATCCCACAGCTCAAATAGCGTTATTCGCAAATTCAATTACAACCTTCACATTGAAGCCAGAGGCGTAACAATGAAATGAATTCCAGTGTGTGCCGATGGATTTCCCAGAACACCGTCAAATTGAGTTGGTCAATTGACTGCAAAGTGAAAATTTTCATTGACATAAAACACAGAGTGTCTATCAGTTTGGAACGTCCTTTCACACAGATTTCCACGCATTTGTATTGAAATGTGTACTGAAATTCATTTATACTGTGATATTTCCTTTGTTGAAAAATGTCTCCTCGACAGGCTTGAATTATTCATGAGGTTCATTATGAAATGGACGAAGTTTACCTCGAAATTGTATAGAGGAAATGTGCCATATGAATTGAAAGGGAGTGAAATTCAATATGAAAATCGGTTGGAATATGAAAGCTCTCGAACATCAAAGGAATGTGATTCGAAACATGCATTTAATTGCATAACTGGAGACCACAAATTTACATCATGTGAATCATTACATAGGAAATCTGTAATCAAAGTGCAGGTGAAATTAGTACAATTGATTACTTGATTGCACCTCAAAACTCACCCTCTGATGAAAGGACAATTCGCTATATAGCGCACCCGCAACAATTGTACGTCATCGAATAATTTTCCAATTACCAACAATTTCCATCAATCATGTTCGCATTGTCACCAAAAATAGAGGAGAGACGGAAAAACTATGGGTCAATACGGGTATTGTTTGCCGCTTTTCCTTCTTCTTTTTATTTTTTTTGTTGTACCAAAGTCCCTCGACCAGCGCGGACCTAAAATTAGGTGGTGTTATTTTACCTTGAATATGAAAATCGAAGAAGCGGTATATATGATAAAAATATCCGCTTCAGAATTACTTGGAAGGAGGATGAAATGATAATGTATTTTCCTTCTCTCTCTCCTTGTCTTTTTCAATATTATAATTTTCCGTATAGGAACATTGAAAAGGCACAGACGAACAATGCGAGAGAGATTGTGTATTTTTGTGTAGGCCGCGAGTGCCCGGAGCTTTCGCAAAATATATTGCGAACTGTGTGTGTGTGTGTGTGTGTGTGTGTGTGTGTGTGTGTGTGTGTGTGTGTTGGTAGAAAATTTTGATTATCGGAAGATTTTACATACAGATTCCCGAGCACTTACATACGTCAGAGATTCAGATGAGCAGGAAAAGTCGATTCAGAGTAGATTTCACATGGAGAATGAATAGGATATTTATTTTAAATTTCTCTCGTCCCTCCATTTCTCCGTGTATTATTCATTCATACACCTTGTCTGGCGATGAGGAGGGCTTTTGTGAGGAGAAGAAAAGATGAATGAAGTGCCTTCCTTTCATGGACTATATCATCAGCAGATTACTAGCTTTTTTTTTTAATTTGTATTCTCAAACAGACTAAAGAAAGATTGAAGATAATCACTTTTTATCTCTTCTCTTGATAAATCACAATTAACAAAATAATATTCTGTTATTTTTAGTTTAAAAATTCTTCTCACATTTGCGATTGTTTCGAAAAATTAATTGGATTAAATGAGGTCAACTGAAAATGACAAGTTCAACCTGAAATATCAGATATTCAGTGATTTTTTTGTGGAACAACTAAAATCGTCATGCTTTTCAGCGGCAACTCTCTCATGATCACGATAAA